AACGCCTACCCATCCTTATCATAGAATCAACACAGTTTGGCAGCACTAAGTTAGAACTAGACCGAATAAATGTCACATACTGATTTTTCAAAAGTTTTATTCAATTCGATATACTACGTTTATATCTCTCTCTATCTCCCAATATCTTTGTTGCAATAAATATGTTCTTATATTAAGGATAATACCAACTATTTTTCCTGGAATGGTTTAAATCTTCTCCATTTAGATCTGGTTCAAACCCTCGATCTTTACTTCTTAACTTATTAATCTACGGTTTGCTACGATCATTTAGATGTTCTGTACTGGTCTGTACTGATGGTCTTAATTTTTTTAGAGTTTATCAATTCGATTGATGATTCTATTAAGATTAGGAAAACATTCATTGTCCAAAGTTTCTCTCAAAACTTCTTGCTAAGAAGATTTAATAAATCACGGTTATTATCTAGATGCGGAAATACCTACACCATTCCCAGAAGTTGTAGTTTTACAGACTGCATAGAATCAGTTTCTGTGTCAGTAAACAGATATGAGTTATTTTTAATTTTTACCGCTTTCACAAAGTTTTAGAATTTCCTAGTTGGACATTAAAGTATATTATTGCTCTTGTTATTGTTAAACGACCACCATTATCTGTTAAATATTACAGTTATTACTTCATCATATTACACTACCTAATACTGCTTTCATACTAGTCTTTAACACGTTTTTAAAGTTAACATTGGTGAATGATAATAATTATTAATTGATCCAGTGAAACAACACAGCGATGTTCATCAACATTTCACTACATTACAGCAAACGTCAACATATCGAAATCATCGATAATGCAACATATTTATTTATGGGTAATAAGATGCACTGTAGCGCCACCAGTGTGGTTGTATGGACCACTTCTTCAGCACACTCATATTCGATCTTCTTTAAATTTGCTTGCCTGCCATATTAACGTATCGTTGAATTCTTCTATAAGTACATGTTTCCGTAGTTTTAGACAGTAGACATAGTTTTAACATCATCATCGCCCAAAAGTCTGGAAACGACTATGCGATAATCACTGCATGTCGATCTTTACAATTGTCTGTTATTGTTAATTTTATAATTTAAACGAAAACAGATAGGCAGAAGCGGAGGCGAAGATCTCAATACAAATATGCCAGCAAGTAACGACAAATTCGGTAACCGTCCTTCAGAGCAAAACCTATTACTGGCAGATCTTTTTGATGTGCTAGATCTTGCTTCGGGTCTTTAGAAAATGTATACACTAAAATGCAACGTGTGAGTTCTTCTTGTCCTTCGATATCGCAGGTAAATGTCTTTCAACTACAATTAATAAAGCTTTACTAAAGAGACATTGTTGCGAACTCTAATGGTTTCAACCGAAGCTTCAGTTTGTTTGTTTGACATATCTTACAAAATTTTGCTGAAATGATTAATTTCTTAAACAACTACTTCTAAAATTTATCTGTCGCTGAACTTCTAAACATCTTTTTTGTGTACGTCATTGCAACCGGTCTCACAACACTTCCTTCTTAAATTAGGTATTTTGACAAAGAGCGAATTTTAACAAAAATTATTTAAAATTTTCGAGCACAATTTGAAACAGTACCAGCTGTAAAGCCAAGGAAATTTGAGTTTCAACTTTAGTAGGTTCGATTTACTATTCTTTTTTCTCTGGCTGGCCCTTTTTTAAAAACTTTTCATTTTAACTTACTTAATACCCAAAAATCAGCTTTGTCTCCAAAAATTGAACATTAATAAAAAATTGTGGTAATTTCTGTACACAGATTATTTCACTTCTACAAGAGCAATTTCATTTGCTGTAGTAACACTGACTGTGAAGTCACCAACCAACAAAATCAGCTGATCTACAATGATGTATAGAACTATAGTATTTCATAAATTTTATGAAATCTTGTCGGTGTAGAACACTAGAACAACTAACTACCTGTGTAAGTAACAATTCATAAATTGGGTACACAACTTACTCATCCTTCCACCCCTAGCTTACCACTTTTTTGATTTTCATGAAGAGTTTTCTAGAAAGAATATTTTAAACTTTGAACTTCAACAATGTTATGATAGACCTAACTATGCATAAAATTAGTGCACCTTTGTTAACACAGTAATTATTATTATATTGTTATTACTATTATCATTTTATATTCAACGGAAACAGCTTCCCCAAAAGAAGCAGTGTCGAAGCAACTACAGAAGCTACAACTTAGAACGACACTTTCGTAGGAAGTTTAGTAGATGTTTTAATTAACGAAGAATTATTACGAAATGTGAATACTATAGAATAATTTTGTGGAGCCATTATGGGTCGTCTGGTATTCCAGGTAATTGTCTTTGTAGTTAATCTATTATCGAAAAAAATATATATTTCCCTCTCTAATGCTTGTAGCCGAAAGAAATAACTTTTAATGAATTTCATCACATATGTAGATAAAACAAAACTGAAATACTGAAGTATGATAAAAAAACAGTTTAGAGTGAAATCAGAAAAAAATTGCTGGAATAATAAGGCGTAATACGAAAAAGTTCAAGTACAAGGGAACGAAATTTTTAGTGAATCAAAAAAGGATATCGCAGAAAGTGTGTAAATACACCTTTCGATAAATTATAAATTTTAGTACCATAATATGACAAATAAAGGTAGTTATATGTGTTACAAAAATTGTGCATAACCAAGTTTTTTATTTAGAAATATTTGTCGATGTAGATCATCAAAGTCATCAATATTTAGAGTAATAATTTGGCTTTTGAATATATGTATTTTTTTATTTGTATACTTACATTAAAATTTGAAACTGTACTATTTTCATTTCTATTCTTTAAAAATTCTCGAAAACATGTACTCCGAAAATATTTTTCTAATTGTCATTTGACACTTGTATACCTCCATTTGTACGTTTAAATAGTAAAATTTTACGAAAAATTATTTGGATATAGATAGAAGTTACATGATACCATGCAACTTGTTTTCGATGTACTTATATGTATATACTGTTAACTATATGACATAGTTTTACCGACGTACAGATACATAATTTTCAGTTTTTACTAGTGACTTATAAAAAACAGATGAAGAACACAAAAAAAAATAAAAATCGATTCTTAAATCGTTTATTACTACTAAAAAACTAACAGAGATAATAATTAACTGATAGCCAAATGGATTTTATGTGTAAAACTATATCTATGAAAACTATAAATTATATGTTTTTCCTGTATTTGACATTATATCATGTATTACTTATCAAAAGTATATATGTATCCACTTATTATGTTAAAGTACTTTTGATGTTTTGTGAAAAAGATATTATTTCCATTTAGCCCTACAAGGTGTGGGAGTAAAGTATGTGAGGAATCGTAACAACAGAATTTTATCACATACTTATATCGATGTCTTAACTACTGTATAACTAATTAAAAAAAAAGATTACGTGGTAAACAAATTAGAGGACATGCAATGTATAGTAAATGTAGGAATATAAAAAAAAATGACGTTCAGATTTATCTGACATAAACAACACTGCAGATAAAGAAAATAAATCGTCTTTGCCATATAAACGTTAAAAATAATAAAAAAATAGAGGACAACTAAAAATAAATTAAAGTGAAGTTCTACAACGGTTAGGAAAAACCCTTAATACTCCTTCAAGAGTAAGATCTTCTATTATGTTAGGTGCTGTTGACTCATACAAGAGCAACTTGTATGAAGCTTAAAAGTAATTCTTAGTTTCCTTCAGATGCAAGGGTAATAGCTAGAACCACACTACATTTAAATTAATAAAATAAAAGTAAGACATTAAAAACTTGGTCACTGCAATCATCCTTCAGCCTCACTTTAATATATATTTTTTATTTTCGTCGAGAGTTTAAATAATACAAAAGTGAAATAAGGCCCAGTTTTGTATCAAAATGTGTTAAAATTTAAAGGTTAGAAATGAACAGCCAATTAGATCTACGAATTTAACTCGTTACTAAGGAAATTTAAACTTTAAAGTTAACAAGTTTTTACAAATTTGTACCTATTTTGCGTTAAATTTTGAAAGTATACATTGCTATATCGGGATAGCTACTCAATATACTTGGATAGTCTTTTTTACATGAACTAGGAACAATAAATAAGAGTGTAGAACAAGTGCATTCAAAGAATACATCTCAAGAACAGATACTCCGGCATCAGTGTCATCATTCAGTAGGAATGAACTTAGAGAGCTTTCGTAGCACGCAGTAGTTTTTTAAATAAACCTCAACGTCATTGCCCTCTTAACCGAAGAAAACAATAGTCTTCATTTGCATTTGCATTAGTTACAAATGCGTATGTGAAAGATAATTATTTATTAATACATTTTTACTCTTATATGAAACATTGATCAACAGTTTCAGATATAGTATGATGTTATAATTAACAAAAACAACTATGCTTTGTCTGTTACATTCATTACACGATCATCATTAGTTGCTAAAAAATATTATACTTATTGTGTCATCATACGTATTGATGCGCTTTAATTATGGTCTTCAGCACTTTTTTTTAACTTAAAATTGATGAACACTCGTTGATGCGGTGAAGTAGCACAGCGATCATCATTAAGTTTTGTTTTATTGAAGCAGCTTACGAAAGTAAATGTCAGCGTGGCGAAATCATCGAACATGTGAATGATAATGCAACGCTTATATTTACGGGTAATAAAATGCACTGTAACGCTACTAGTGTGATTGTAACGACCCATTTCTTTAAAATAACCATATTCCATCCACACATCTAAAAATTTACTTGCCTCCCATATCAACGTATTCTTCTACAAATACATATTTCCGTAGTTTAGACACTTGACAGCGAGAGTGAATGTTCATGCATTTGCGTTTTTCTTGTTTTTTTGATCAGTTCATCATCGTCCAAAAGTCTGCAAGCGACTATGCGATGATCATTCCATGAGGATCTTTGACAATTTCGTGTTTTTGTTAATTTTATATTTAAACGAAAACAGATAGGTGGAAGCAGTGGTGGAGCTCCGAGTACAAGTGTCTCAGCAACTGGTAGCGCTACAGCCGGTAGCAGCACTTCCGGAGGAAGTTTAACAGATGTTTTAAGTAGCATAGATATTCCAGCATTGTTACGAAGTGTGAACAGTATAGTGAAACTTGTTGGAGTCTTCTGTCCTCCGTTATCGCAGGTAAATGTCTTTCAATTGTACTTAATAAAGCATTACCGAAAAGACATTGTTATTACGCACTCTAATGGTTGCGACCGAGGAAAATAGCTTTTAATGGATTTCGTTACATGTGTTGATAAAACAAAAGTGAAACGCTGCTGTAATTGTAAAAAAGCTGTTGCTCAAGTACGCAAGAACAAGCCCTTGTTGGGGATTAGAACTTGGCATACCGACATGTTTACCCTAAGAAAAGTAGAGCGAAATTGCTTTTATGCGACACGCCTTCTAATCATGCACTTTTAATCGTGTCAGTCATATCAACATGATTTATTTACTACTAATTGGTATTATTATTTTAAAGCCCACCAGCGTTTGCACTTTTGTTCTTTATCTTCAAGATCACCCGTTTTGTCAACTGAAGTGTCAAAACAGGTTTTACGCAACTACTTTAATTACCAGAGTGCGTAATAACTTAATTTGCTGAAAAGCTAACAGCTTTCTTTTCAAACGAGTTTCTGTTTTTCACCCAAAGATACATTCGGGTCAATGGTGTATGCTTTATCTTATTGTTGCACAACTCTCTCTCCTAAACTGTTTTAATCAATCAATCTTTCATCGCAGGTTCTCGATAACGTCATTCAGAATGTGACCAGCGTTGCTTTTCGTGTCTTCGGAAGAGCGATCCTTCGCAACGGCCTTGGAGGTGGTGGAAGCTCCGGTTCTAGCGGAGGTGGCTCCAGAGTTAACGTTGTTCTACCAACTTATCCACCTGACGACGACGACGATTATGACGAAGATGATGATACATCTGCAAGCCCCGGATCTGACGATAATGTTGACGTGAGAATTTCTCCATCCACTACAACCGCAGCAACCGCGCAAAGCGATTCTGCGGTAAACACAACATCAACACTCTACACTGTGAGACATCACTAGAAAAGACATACATCTATCATCGAACATCTCATAATCTTGCCTGAATACCTGCAAGACAATGCAAAATGATTGATTCTTCGAAACTATTTGAAACTCATAGTATTGCTATCTTTATCTTTAATTTCTTGTTTCTTATAACTTTCTTTTCTTGCTAATTCTATAGTATCACGTAAATCTAACAGGGGCAAGGCTGAGTTAAACTTGAACAAATAAAGACGCTTCTTTATTGGTTCATTTGGTTCAAGGCTTAATTCACATCCAATTAGAACATGGATTAATCGGCTAACACGCGAAAAATTACGAAACGCCTAATTCGCCTAACACTAAAACCTTGTCGCGGGTCTTGAATAGAAGTGTTTTAAAGGTAATACTACGAGTTAAAATAGTCCAGAATAATTATTTTGAACGTAACACATTTACATACATCTCGTCTGTATACCAACGAGAACTTTAAACATTAAAGTGAAGAAGAACGTGAAGATTATCGTCAACAACTCCATGCATTGACCATTGGAAGATCATTCTTTCGATTTAACTGGATATTCCACCTAGGAACAGGTGGAAGATTTTAACATCTCTTCTATGTTTCAGACATCTTAATCATTTAATAAATCGTACATTTTTGTGTTTTTGTACTTATTTCATCTTCACTTCGTCAGTAGTAAGGTTATGGTTTCATTTAGTCTCTTTTGTTACAGTCGCCTGCCAACGATAACGACAATTTAGCGAAAAGGCACGTAAGGGTGATCAGAGAAGCAAAGGCAGAAGAAGAAGAAGAAGACCAAGACGGAGCAGAATCAGCGCCAGAGCCAGCCGAAGATTTGTCGAATGTCGACACCGACGATGCAGACAGAAACAAGAGATACTCGCCTTTCGGTGCTGCTGGACATGGCGGAGGTTCCGGAAATTTCTTGTTCGATATAATTCGGGTAAGCAACGGGGCGTGATGGACTTTTTAAATGTGTTGCTATTCAACAATTAAGAAATAATTTTTCGGCGGACACATCAATTAATAGGCATGTGGTTTTGTAACTTAACCCACTTTCTATCACCTACAACATTTGATCGTTCGAAAAAATATATAATTGGATGAAGCAGCAACACAAATTTAGTTAAGTTGACGATCATTAACCTGTTAGGTTACAGTAAGATTTAAGCGCCATTCCATATTTTCACCATTTTGTTACACATTTTTTGCACCAGTTTGTGTAGAACCACAAATCATTCGTACACTTACTTTTAAGATGATTTTGTATGAATAAATATTTACAAGTACACACACTTTTATTCGTCCAAGATTCGTGCATGGCGAAATTAGGTTATTTTTTATCAATTGCTAATTTGAACAAACGAAGTGAATATAAATTTTTGGATGTCAAGGATAAGTTCTAACCTGAGGCCGAAACTAACCTTTACGACGAAGACTCTTTTAAGAAATCGTTGCAAAATTGTCTTATTATAATTTTTACATCTCGCCGACTATTTCCAAATTACGTCTTTTGGTCAAGGTGCGTTTGTGGTGACGTCAAGCATGGAGTGAAATAACACGAATATTTGACTCCATGTACAAGTCTTGAGTAAAACTGAAAGTGTATCAGTGTATTACGAAAGACTAATCCGAAAGTTACAAAAGCAAGCGACGAGTCAAGTGTTCTTAAATTAAGTTCATATGTACCAAGCATACTTTCCGCCCTATCTTTTTCTTCGTCAAAATTCAGTGTCTATTTGGCAAAAAGGGGTATTTTAAATTAAGCTATTCTGGACGTTAAAGTTACGTATCGCATAAACCTTAAATAGGCTTACATATTTATGCCTAATCCACTGTCCTACATTTAGTTTTAGTATTATACAACCTAGAGAGTTCAAAGGATTGATATACGAAGGAAACCTGTCAGTATATACTGCTTCCAATATTACACACTACATATTAATTACTTGAATAAATAGCCATCAGGTTAAGCAAATACACAAGCTACAGGCTAATATTTTATTACGTAACATACATTTTTAAAAATTCTTATTATTTTAGACGAAATGAACTGAGCCGAAATAAATGGAATGTTAGGGAAAGTAAATTTTAAAATATTTTCGTTTCGTCGTCAGAGATGTTTGCCCACGACAAATAAGTAATATCGAATAAAATATAGAAGCAAATAAAATTTTAAATGTTTATATGTGCTTTAAGTGTCTAATACGGTTCTAACTCAGTTTACACTTTCCTCGTCAATAACATTATAATTTCCACAAACTGATTGACAAATAAGAAATTTTTGTAGCATATATTCAAATATCTCAAAATATAATAGATTTAAAAAATATTATTCTTCGAATTTTTAAAAAAAGTAATGAAACCAAACACACGTGAATAAAGTATAGCTCTCCGTTATTTCATTGGTATTAGAGTCAACAGACCCTGATTTAAATTTTTAATTAATACGTACATTCTTTTAATTTATTAAAAATTAAGACATCATTTTAATTAATTATTATTAGACAATGTATGCGTAATATACATATGTATGCACAGTTAATAGTAAACTATTTAATCGATTTTGTTTTAAGTACTATTTTGTAGCAATTACTGTTCCACCTATTGTCTTCGCTTGAGCGTAAGTTCAAATTAACATTTTAGTATCATAATAAGAATTTTTGAGATTTCCGAAAAAATAATTACAACTTTTATGGAAGTTTTATGCAAACTATATTACATTAATATGTACTAATAAAATTTTGTAACATAACTTAGATTCTAATTTAACTGAGGTGTCTGTAATATCCGTGTACAGTAACAAAATATTAATCTTTTGTTTGTATTTGTCAATATCCCTTAATTTTTTATTTTTCAAGTATTTAGTCGAACAAACTATTTGAATCTTGTGACGCTATGGAGGAATTTAACAAAACCATGCCTCTCCTCAAAGACTTATTTCAATCTTACGGGGGATTATTAGCCTAAATAAATCTTAAAAAATGTTACTGTTAATACGTATTTTTGTAGAGTTAAACTGTTTTCAGATTGCTTTAGAAATATTGAAATTGGCTTCCGTTTATTTTACTTGAAAATGTTTGTACATATTGTATCTATAAAAGTAAAACCATTTACTACAACAAAAAGAAAAAGCAGTAACGAGAACAGAAAGCTTTTAAACAGATGTTAAATAATTAGGCGATGAATGTCATTATATGCACTGTTATTTAGACTGTGCCCTCATACTTTAGAAATATTTGACAGAAAATTGAATAATCAAATTTTTAGGAAAGGGATTATATTGCATGAAAAAAATCTGAAATATTACAAGTGATCGTATCAAAATTGAAATGTCACTGGAATTTTTTTGGTACCATCCCTATTTTTAACATATATTTTAAAAATAAATTAAGAAATAGTCCTATGAGTTTAGAATTTTATTAATATTTGTAAAAATAAAAAGATATGGAACACAACAAAAAACCGAATAAACCAATAATACTAGGTAATTAAATTTGGAAAAACGACATTTTTCATGGGATATATGTTAATGAATTAATGATAGACTAAAAATTAACAATTGACAGTATGAAAGTTGTAATGTTGTCTATGTTTTTTAAATGCCAGTGTTTTTGATACATATTTTAAAAAGGAACTTGAAGTCAGTTCCACAATCCAATTTTTATGCTATTCTTATCACTTTAAAAGCCGTCAATTGTGCCACACTGTTGAAATATGCAGTCCACTTTTCTTAATTTTTGTTTTACTTTTTAGACGGTTCCATTTGTAGTTCATTATATGTTGCACCTTAAAGTTAACATACCCTTTTTACGTGAAAATAATAGTTTTTGTTTATTATACTTAAATTGCGGTACAATTTTTGTGTTTGACTTCTTTTGTATCTCTAACATAATTAATGAGATCGAGGAGGGCACACTTATTGACTCACCCCTTACCCTTACCTCATTTACTTCTCCCAAATTACTGTTTTATTCGTTTTTTACCAAATTTCTGTCAAATATGACGAAATGCTGTATAATAATCGTACTAGAAAACAACCAGAATATGTAGGTATGTTACACTTGCTTTCATGCAAATTCTTAATAGCCAGTTAATTTATTTGCCTTCACTTGGGTATTTGCAAGACAAAAAACTGGTCACTTTAAGTAAAACCGCTTTGCCTTTTCCCGTCAAGTGTTATGAGAAACAAAACTCTAAAAAAACCTTAGTCGGATCTGACGACATAATTCAATTCGTGCTTATTTCTGACAAAGTAATCACATTTATTTACTGTCATTATAAATTTAATCACTTTAGAGGAGAAGGCGGATCGAAATTTAATATTCCAGTGTCGCAAACTTTCCTCCGGTTTACATAATTTCAGTCACACCGCCTTTAAAACTACTGTTAATTATATGTGTTAATTGGCGAAATAACGGTAGCAAAAATAAAAAAATATTTATTCTACTGACCTTCATTGTCACCTTTTAATAAATAAAGACTGACGATATAATTTATTTACTTTCACCGAGCGCTGCAACGGAATGTTTAAATTTCCAATGGGTTCTCGGCCTCTGGACTATCTTTGGCATCTATGAAAATATATATTCATTCGGAGAGTCTTTTTGGGGGGAAGCAGAAACGGAGAGACAATAAGCTACAAATTGAGTGTTTAGAACACGGCGGACAGAGCTGCTCGTACAGTTGGCACTGTCTACAGGATGGTTGCTGGCACTGAGAATTTGGGATGGGGTTTGACGACCAACACGGCGACTTCCCAGACCATAACATCTTACGGTGCTTCGGCTGCTTCTTCAGCAAAGGTATCACCAGTACCAACACGGACTGTTCCTTCCCTGCCTCTGCTTCACTTATCGTTCTAGCACTAGCACTAGCCACTAACACAGCACGCTTCTGGGGCTTTTTTCTCTCTCTCTCTCCAAAGTTTCTATTTGTGATGCTAATTGTATAAAATAGTGCTTGAGAGTATTTTAATAGTGTACATATTTAAATTAAGTAAAAGTTTGTGTATGCGTTGATCAGTTAAGGGTGTCATGTCTGGTAGTTTCAAGCACTATTTAATTACTTAATAACTCTTCTTTTTCCCCTACTGTTCTGCGACTGTACTTTACATAACCGACTGTCTAACAACTCCATCCCAGACATGACAGACGATAGACTGACGTTTCAAGATGGAAGAGCGAACTGGGGTCCACAGGATTTTGTCTAATTAATAGCCGGTTTAAAATGGAAAGTTATTTAGGCTATCCGGTATAGTACCTGATGCCGGTGAAAGGTTGTACTTTCTACTGAAATCACATAATAAAATGAAGAATCGAATATTTCATCAGAGGGCGTCGACGAAAAGTGCATAAGTTACTCATCTAACGATGCGATTCAGATGCAGCCGCTTAGAAGATCCAAAGGTCAAATGATTTACTGAAGAAATTTTCTTTCATAATAACACCGACGTAAATCTTGAACATCATTTCTCCACACGTACATAAATGACAGGCACGGTTAACCAGTAAAATAACTGAGACAATTTGTTCGACACCAGATTTTCTAGAAACTTTTATTTGTAGGTACATGCCACATTAACGACACGTCGAGTTAATTGCAACATTGTTAAAATGCATGCTCACATCCGCAAGGCAGTTAATATCGAAACTTATAAATTTTGTTGAAACAACTCACAATTTTCACGAAATTCTAATTTCAAATACAAAATCATGGGGCTTAGTTTTTTAATAAATAACTATATATTCCACAAACAACTCATTTAAATTTTTCAGTACTTACGTTGCAGACAAAAAACAAGTAAATGTACATCTAGATCTGTTTTTTAAATTATAGTCAATCTGGTTGATGAACGAAGATATAGGAAATAAAACATCAGGAAGTCAAATCTATCCCACTACCATAGATTAAGTAATGAAATTGTAGTTTACACTTTTACACGAATTGGTGTTATTTTTCAGTGAGTAAGGTAATTCCTTAAATTCACACTAGTGTGTTAATTTTAGATAAGTATTGACTTAACTTACCCCACTGCCATGAGTGGAATATTTCATTTATTATTTTAAACCACTTCTGCAGTCATTTTCGGCATCACATGTGATCTAAAGCAGTCAGGAAATCGTGTGGGGATATTTATATTGATATTAGAAGTAATAATGGTTTTACTTAAATTAAAACGCAAAAAACTCTTTCAGTTCATTTATTAATTGCTCACGAATTTTAAATGTAAATTTGTTTCAAGCAACAAAATATGTTTCTCCATCACAAAAAAATAAACCGATGCAACTGAGTTATCCCTAAAGATTATTGCTTAGTACGTCGTAGAGCAAAAAGATTGTTCCTATTCAATTTTACAGTGTCATATAAAATTCACGCATTATCACTACTAATTTTTAGGAAGTCATTAAATTCTTCACAAAATATATTGTTTATCAGAATTGGTATATACAGAATTTAATACATAACTAAATAAATGAAGCCTTTTGATATAGTATAACTCTTGAATAACTACAACTTACGTCTAATGGGATAGACAGACTTTTAAAAAATCTGTTTTTCATAAATTTTAGTATTTTTAAATTCTTGCAATGGTCCCCTATATTTTTCCAAAACATGATAAAAACAACTTTTTTAATATAAACAAAGATCCTCAACTACAGAATTTCGTATATATTCTTTTTTATTTCTCTTACTTTTCTACGAAAATATTTCGTGAGAATGTAATGAACAATGTTCTGCGTATTTGAAATTTACAAAGCATAGGGTTTCTGTAGGAAAGATAACAGTAATTTTTTCTACGAAGTTCAGTGTAAATTTAAATTCTGAACAATATTTCGTGTTTCTGGTTACTTTTCAAGATCAATATAGCAGTTGTACCTATAAACACATAAATATTTCAGTACCTGATATTTCCAAGAGATAAATCTACTTACTCATCAGAAGAATCTTCAAGTTCTACAATTTTTGAGAGAGTGAATGTTTTTGTGCAGTATAATAAAGTTCTGTTTCAGATCGTCAAAAGTACTTTATTTTAATAATAAAATAGTTGTTTGGCAACTGGGCCCATCGTAATAAAACATTCTGAAGTTACAGAGTGAAGTCTTGTTTGAAAATGTTTGTGAGTGGTACTTTTTCTCGTTTTAAGCTCCAAAACTACACGTCAACTAGAAAACGTTATTAGAGCTGCACCTACACATGACATGTGTAAAAATCGACTAAAATCTAATTTTCTATTTTCTTGACTTCTACAAAATAGGTGGTTTGAGTAAAACGTGACAAAAAACAGAAAGGCATGTTTGTCAACAATTTTTAATTACACGAATTAGGTATTAACGTACCAAACGATCTTCATTAAAACATTTAATTCAGAAAAAATGGGTGTAACTAAGGATATTAAAACATAAAAAACATGCTGATATATTCAGAAGCTAAAAGATTTGTAAATAAAATGTTATTCGACGTCTTTTACCTTTTCAAACTTTATACCAAGATGGCGCAGCTGCCATGTTGAAATCTAAAAACGTTTTAATAAATCTTCTTTTAAGAGATACGAAATAGTAGGAATAGAAATTATCTCAAAAATGTTGTATAAATTTCCAGTTCAAGTGTTTTCATTGTAAAACATTTGACTGATTTTCTAATGGGTCTTTAGTTTATTTGGGTATTAGTTGTTTGTTAATTTTGGTAAATCAAATGCTCTTTTTACGTAGCATTAGTGCTCATTTGTATTTTACACATTATTTATACTGATCAGGAAGGTTGTAAAATTAGAACAAATGAAATTTACCTATATGAACACAATGGGCAATACAATTTATTACATAGATATGACATCATTAGATTTATAGTGCTAAAGCTTAGAGGCGCCGTTTAGCTGCGCCTTAAAGCATCAAACCAGATTCGGAAAAGTTGATTTATTATTTTGTAGTCAGTCTTTTGCTTTCTAATCGTAATATAATATTTGGTTCTGCCGAATTTTATGAGAGAAAATATGCGCTGTAAACATTCATTCATCTTCGCCAGTGGATATTTATTGCCAGTAATTTACTGGGGTCTCAGTAGGCAACATGTTAGATCTCTTTCAATACTCTTACAACAGAAAGGTAAATTTTATTACTATTCTTTTTACTGGAACCTTACAACCATCGAATAACACGTGATATTCTTAAAATATCACGAAATCTTGAAAGCGGGTTATGCAACCAAAAATACACCTTTTAGTACTACCATTACCTCCCACTATCTTTGACCGAATTAATTCGGGGCTTGGTTGAACCTACATCCAAAAATTGTTCGGCCTAAACTGATGTTGGTGACCGCCTATACACGAAATACTACGCCTATAGTTTCACAGTATGCGATTTATTTCGACTTTTTAAATTAGCACTATACGTGGATAACAAAGTCGTAGAAAGCTTCAAAATCAGATCTGGAGGTCAACCGTTCTAAAAAATAAGCTAAGTATTACAATAAAGCCCATATTTAACTAGGCGAGCTAATTTGAATTGTAAATTTCAATAAAAACATTGTTTTAATTTTACAATTAATTATACGAAAGGGTGAACGGACCGTTCACTTTTACTCCAGTTTGTTTTCAATTTTGTTTTCCCATTCAGTCCTGAATTTAATTCTGCAAATTAATATTTATAATTTGACGGAAAAGTGAATTTCGGATAAAAACATCGTCCTGAATACTTCATTCCTTCTGTTAGTTAAGTCGATTGATTAAAAACCGTAGAGGTAAACCACATTAAATTTAGATTAGATAGTTGTAGAAATAGTAGAGTAAATTGTTATTAGAGTATTGTTCGCTGTGAATTGGTGAAAGGAGATTTTTCGGATGGATAAAGCTAATGAGGCGGTGACTACAAGGAGCGCCCCCTCATTTGCTAAATTGTCTCAATCACAGTACTTAATTTATTTAATTGTGCAGCTTGTTGCCGGCTCTGGAGCAACTGAAGAGTCAGACGAAAGAGCTCATGGACCTGGAGGTGTTGCGGAAGTTGATATTGCTAAGAGCGTCGAGGTAGGACACCACGGCGAGGGAATTCCTGGACCCATCACCCGTTTGTTTGTTGTTGCTAATCGTGGCCTTGCCAACCTCGTACAAGACTTGATCTTGGTAAATATTCCACTGCTTTATTAACGCTAAACCGGGTTTAATTACCCTTTGAATAAACTTGGATTTACGTTTAAACTTACCACAGAATGATGCTTCTCTCTGGTAATTATTCATTGTGTTACTTCCAGCGTTTGGCGCAGACCAGCGAAAGACTCGTCAACTTCAAGGCTCGTCTTGTCACATCTCTCATCTAAGAAGTTCCATCGCCATTATATTTTAGAAAGAATCAACCTCGCTCATGCAAAGACCTTCATAAACACGTCGCATTGTTACCACTTTTGTAAACGAAAAAACAAGCATGAAGCCTATGATTACTATAAATTAATTTATCAGTTTCTATTTTTTTTTGTTATTTTTTATTTAAATTTGTATATAGGTGATAACTTTTCTTTTCTTCTTTTCTAATTTGTATGGTCGTCTTGCCATTTCTTCGAAATTTTGTTATTCTTTTTCAATTCTTTTTTAGCTTTATGTTTAGACTAAGTTTTCCCTGTTAATTTAGCTTTGCATTATCAATTTTATCATATGTATATAACCTGAACATTTGCTCACTTTGAATTGCTAAAAACATGAAAAATGTAAATAGAAATTCTGTCGTCATGGTGTAGATATTTTCTCTAAATAATGTAAGTAGTGTAAATATTGCGCTAAAAGCACTCTAAACAGGTTAAAAGTTTTGATTTTTTTTATAAAAGTTATTGTATGTTGTATTTTTTATAATATCAAAAATACAAAATTCTTAAAAAATTTAAATATTATTTTATTTACAGCTGTATGAGTGAAACTAAGTCATGGTTTTGTTCCCTGTAGGTGTAAGTAGTGACTATAAATGAACAAGTTAGATTTACGTTAGGTACTTAACTGCTTTATTCAATATCAAAAGCTACAATATATTATATCATATAAATACAATAAAAAATGTCATATTCTAAAATTATAACTTTGGTACTTTATTATACAAAATAGAAACTTAATTACTAAAACAAAGTTTATCGTTACACAGTATTGTTATTCTGAAAACATTTTACATTTACCTTTTTTTTTTGTATTCACTTAACAATAAAAATCTCTACCTAGAATAAAGGATGAATGTGTTAATATCTTAAAACATAGTAAACTATTCCCAGAATGAACAAAAATCACAATTAGGTAAATTACGATCGCGGAATGAATATAGTTAATACGTCATTAATAATCAGTCATTATCTTAAGTACTGCAAAAGTTACTGAAGCAGATATCACCGATCAGTTATTTCACGAACATCAAACGTAAACACTTTAATCTAACTTTTGCTCCAATAAAGAACAAATCAAATACAAAAGCTTGACCGCGTGATAACTGCCTAACCATTAATTTTGGTTAACAAAACCAAAATGCTTTGGTCGAATATTCTAAAGCCAGATAATTTTCCTAGGACTATCCTAAAGTTAACTATACAAAATAAACATTTATACATGTCCTTTGGATTTTGATACACACAACACTTAAGAAAGCTGTACACAAATCGCCAATCAAGTTTTATGAATTTAGTATACACAATTGCACGTCAACTTGATTGATACATAATACTGCGGTTTCATAGCCTGCTAGACAATCTTTAAATTAAGCTAGATATTTGGCACGCGATTTCTTGAAAAATATATTACGTTTAAAGTTACTTATAAATTGCAACATAAAAACAACCTTTTGCACTATTTCTCAACTGTCTTAACAATTGTCATGGAATGAGTGAAGCTTCACTTGTTCAAAACAAAACACAGATCTTAAACGAGGAACTAAACAGCAGAATGTTTACCTATTATTTCTCCGGTTTTCGAGTAGACATGTTTACCGTCAAATTCAACGGACATATTTCTTTCACCGTTCATTTGGCTGTCAGACTTCAAAGGTTCACGCTCATCCTCCCTGGAGAACAAAAACAAATTAAAGATTCTTTTGTTTTTTAAGAAGAAAACACACTCATGCTTTAATTTCAATTAAGCTGTAAGCGCAGATTAAGCGGTTATTACGTTGTTAGCTTTACGGCAATACTAACCCAACTGTATTCAAATTACTGTAAAATGTAAGGTAGGCGGATTGGAACGAAGAAATTAAAAACCATTTTTAACGTGCATTTGTGTCAAGTTAAAATGCTTATTTATTGTGACCATATCAAAATTTCGGTGTTCAACATAACAACGGGCTTCATATACAAAATCTAGCTTATACGATAAATACTTACCAGGTACGATAAAAAGTATTGATTTTTTTATGAAAGATCTACGAACACCATAAGTTACCTTTGCAAAGTCACAAAACATTAAAATAGACACTTTGGTATGTTTTTCCTAAAACCTCGAAAAAGCTTGACATTAAGGACCAAACTAAAAATGACCACGTCTATGACTTTTTTAGTAACAACTTATAACCAAAATGCACCACAATGACAGATATCCCTTTTATTAAAGTTTGTTAATGTCACCAATATTTTTTAAATGCTATAACATTTTGCATTTTTACAATATATATAGCTTGTGACAGCACAAGTTGTTCATAAGGCACAGGACGAGACCGGTGTAGACAGCCACCTTAAAAAAAAAACAAAAAACGAAACAAAAAACCATTAGCGAAAAACCTGTCATTTAATTTTTTTGAATTAGTGACTAATTAGCAGTGACGGTGCTGGGATATGTGCAAATTATTTAGGGATTCTTTAAAAATGTATTCTTACAATTCTTTAATTTGTAATTGTTTTAGATGTTAGTAATTTTACGAGTGCATTAATAAATTATTTACGATCGACGAGAAAGTGGAGCGTCTCAATTAACAAGCAACCATTTTAAGCAACTTGTTGTAATATATCACACGTTTTCTTTATCCATGTCGTAATACTCTTTTTATTTACACGTCGTATAAATTGATACATTCATTATTCATTAGTTTAGTGGACATTTACCTCAAATATTGAAAGCTCTCTGATTCAAAACTCATTATATATTCAGTACCAATCGCAGGCTTTAATTGCTGTGTACTAAGAGTAGAACGATCAGATATTATGATTTATACTTGATTTAGGTACTGTATTCGAACTGAAAAGTGCATTGTTACAACTTCTGCAATGAATTTATGGCATGGCCATACATTACTTCCATTAAAAACATGCGGAATTCTGAAAAAAGGTTCAACTTTGAGACTATGTTAGGAACCGTATTTTAAAAATTGCGTTCTACGATTTTCGGTCGCCAGGTTGTTAAAAATTGTAAACTTGTGAAGGGTCGTCGAAATGCTGGACATTTTTTGTTGTATAAAAATTAACCTTAAGGTACGTGTCCACTTGAGAGGGCGCTTGCGAGAAATAATTCCAAAATCAGAGAATTCGCGAGATTTACTTTCAAGGGCCTGTCGATTTGAGAGGATATTTTAGCAAATTTTGCTCGCCGATAGATGTTAAATGTCTGTCGATCAGACAAAGGGCTCAAAACCCTGTCCACTACACAGTTGCACTTGCGAGGAAAATGGACCCTTTTTACTCGAACCGACAAAGAATTTATGATTTTACGAGCCTTTTGTTAATCTTCTTTCAAGAAATTCAAGTGAAATGTGAATGCTGGGAAAACAGGTAGCAAACAGGAGATAAATTATTTGATTGCAAATTTAGATTTTTTGCTCAAGTAAATTTTTTTAGAAAATTTATTAAGATTTCCAAAAAAGGTATAGGTAAATTGTTTCCCGGGTTAGGTTGGTAAGAGCCCTTAATACGACCGGCACCTGAAGATTATTATCCCGGCAGGTTATGATTCATTAAATGACAATTACATGCAATATTGTAGTGTGTAAAAACATCTATAAAAGTATTGTCCCTAAGAATGATACTTTCAGTGAGGCAGATATGAATTTATAAAAACACTTGTGGATAAACACTGAAAATAAATATAAATATTAATTTTTGAATACCTACGCATGATAATAATACATTTTGTAGTACCTAATTATGTCATTTATTATTAAAAATTCATTTAAAAACGTTATTAAAATAAAAAGTATAATCAGAATTTCTTATACAAACTATGATGTTTAATTATAAATTAATAAAGTTAATCTAGTCTACTTTTCACATTATTTGCTTCAAATTTATGATAAAAAAGAACATAATTTAGTCATTTATTTTCGTTTTACATTTTTTTAGTACTATGTACCTGGTGAATTGGATTCTGAGATAAAAACCCAAAATAATACCAAAGCCTAGCTTCTTTAGAATGTAACTGTAGTTGTAAAAGATAAATTTACAGTAACTGCTTCTAGTGTATATAATACCTTTGTATGCACTTTTTTATTTCAAGTTATTAAGTATTTGTTCTTTGGTAAAGCAGAAGCCTCATGAACCAAACTACATATCAATAGGCACTTTTTCTTACTACTTCGAACCATTGCGACATCATTCACGTTGTTCTGATGATGGCAATATAATTGTAGAAACACGTCGACGTGTTAAATTTCTTTTTTTGTTGCGAACGTAAATCAACAAGTGGCGTTCAACGTTTAGTGCTGTTATTCGCGTTTCGCTTTTAATGAACTATAACTTTTTTAATGTTACTACTATAACAACACTCCACATTATTTTTTATCCCTGTGTGTATTTTTGTTAGTCAAGATTTTCACTGGCAAATTATTTAATTTATTAGTTAGCTTGTCACAGCTGCTGCACAACGGTCACACTTACAACACAGTCTTAATTATCATCTAATTATCCACAGCATGCAAGCGTTGTTTCTGCCATGATTCGCTATTTTCATCAGAACAAGGCTAATTAAAAATGTCATTGCGATTAATATGGAATAAAGCGGCGGCATGCGGTAGTAATGCAAGTTGACGTTTCTGTTCGGAGCAACCTAAATGCTCGTATAACGTAAAGCCCACGTTTAACTAACGTTCGTAAGCGTCCACAATCCTACCACAATTAATAAGGAACATTGTTATTTCAGAGCAAAGATTCCTACTAATACTTTACTCTCAATCAACAGCTTTACGACACTACATATTCAGAAAACGAATTCCCGAAGAATCAAATAATGCTATTTGCTCTCAATCTACTTTGAGCTGTTTACAATAAAACAAAAAATCAATGAAATCAGAAACCTTGAAAACTTTCCTTTATCTTCTTAAACATCTATAACCAACAAGCTCAAAAAACAATTTCCTTTTTACACTAATCAGACTTTATCGAAAATGGCTTATAACATCGAAATATGCTATTTATAGCAACGTAATTAGTTCTTGTATCCAGCTTTAGTCAACTATTCGCCCCGCTCTGAGACGATTGAACTCCGGGCCAAATATTTATACGCTGCAGTAACAATGAAGGTTCGCCGAGACGCATGGTATTATTGTTAGTGGTTTCTAACACGACCCCTGACGTCCATTACCGTTCAATTTTAATTGTCAACAGCTTGCGTTGTTACCCGTATTGTCTTAACAAACACACACTGCAGTGGTATTTACCAATTCTAGCCGAAACAAGTGACGCACTGGTAATAACAGCATGCTTTTGCATAAAATAACATCAACACTGAAACATGTGCATGCAAGGGATATTCATGCATACAGCCGTCAGAGTTCTTACATTGGTGATGGTGCCAATTTGACAGGTAGGGGCAGGTTGAGACTGTTGGGATGCGCCGGGGCAGCTTTGTAACTGCAATAAGGCAGCGGAAATCGCCAACTGTATAGACTAAAATTTCCAACGAATATGTATAATGTGTGTGACAAAGGAGATGTAGACGCCACAAAAGCATGTGTTATTATGGTGTATTTACAACTACAAGCGATATATACAGATGACGTAATAATCATCGTTTGAATCCGAAAAACGTGTTATGTGGGCCAACGTGAAAAATTCATTCTGTCAAATGTTCCACAAAGAAACGGCGAATCACCTGAGGTACGTTTTTCACTTAGTTTAAATTTTAACTCACTGTCTGTCTTAACGCCTGTAATAATTGGGAGTTTTGTTTCTCAAGATCGCAACTCAAACTTGAGCATTTTGGCTAGATCTACAGAACCAAATTATTTAAACATTTATACTGTTTGATAGAATTGCCACTCTTGAATTATGAAAGTCACCGAGTGTATTAAGGAGCCTGTTGATATTGTTTTTCTCTCGTAACAAAACATGTAAACATGTTTTTTTCACTTTAAAACAAATAATTTAAGAAAAATGTTCATGTCTTCAACTGGGAAGGACAGAAAAGAAATATTTTGAATGGCGCGACCAGAGAATCCGAGTCCAATAACAAACCCGAACGGCTTAAAAGATTTCAATTTTTATTAATGTCATCGTCTAATGGACCTGGGTTCCCCAGTGACGCAAATGGAAGTGCAACTGCATGGAGAGTAGGAGCGCTGCTCGAACGCCACTCAGGGGCTGTAACATTTTTTTTTATCAATTATTTGCTTTAGAAATGCGACACATATTTTTATAAAAAAAATAAGGGTTCTTTATCTCATTACTTCTTATGTGAGTTTAAGAAGTTGCATTAAAAGTGAGTACATCTTTTGTAAATTTAACGATCTGAGCTATATCAAAGATATAATAATGTAAATATTTTCCTTTCTACCAAAACCCACAAATGTCAACATTCCATTCCCTTCTGGTAAAATACACTCATCAAACATTTTTGCAAAACAAACTCCCGAGAAAAATTAACACAGCGTTGAACAAAAAATGCAGTAAATATTTAAAATTTATTCTGAACTAATTTAGTTCTACGGTTTTTTTGAACAATGTAGGAAATGCTTTTAAATTTTTATTCGTTAAATTGTTTATGAACTTTTGCCACCTTATTCAATGAAGGCCGATTGCAGGGCATAATTTTCATTTATCAACAAATATACTCGTACACTATGTAACTTTAACGTTTTATTTGAATACCTGGCATCATCAGGCATATAGATTTCAGATGTAAACATTTTGTGCGAATCAAGCTACATTAATCTGATATTGTTAGATGATCTAAATAATCACCATTGGCCAGTACGGCCAACTTCGTTGAACAAATATTCACTACCTATGTATCTATATAAAATGTTTTTAACTAGGTACTATTACTTTTAGAAAGAGTGGGTTGAATATAATTACAATATAACACTTGCTGAGCAACAATAGGAAAAATTAATTCACTTTTTCATACCAGTAATACCTCCCAATTGGGATAATCACAAAAGATTTCAAGTTTTGGATCGAAGATTTACTTTGATTTATTCCCACTGTACTGCATTTTAAATTTCCGTAAAATTTGGACGTTTACGATCTGGGTGTCAGCTAAATCCAATTTTGGATTTTAATAATAATAATAATAATGTTGATTCTAAACCAACAGACATATTGTCTATACAGGTAACACAATTACACCAAAGTTATACAAGTGATTAAAAAAATATTAACAATAATAAAGATATAACATAACTATATGTATATAAACAAAAAACAAAAAAAATACCTAATCAAATTTTATTAAGATAAATTAATTTCAAGAACAAATATTTTCTTTGGCTGTGATTTGATGAATGTAGATTCTTTATACCATAAAATTAGAAAAGTTTGACTGCTTCCAGTATTCTGAAGAAAGGAGATAAAGTTTCTTGTCTTCTTGGACTAGCCTTGCCTCAATTACCTCGGGAAACTGGGTTTGATAAATGATGAGGTGAGAAAATTAGATTGTTAGCTATATCGGATTAACGTAGCAATTTGATGTAACCCATAGATCGTTGATACGAACACGTAACTTCTCTTGATCAAATCAATCTCATTTGCTTTTAAAGTACTTTATTTATCAACAGATCACCTTTCTCGTCCAAAAGTGCGGATCGCAAGATTCATTAAAATTCGTAGGTGGACTAGTCAAGCTAAGGAGGAAATTTGTGACCAAAGAAGCTTAACTGTATTTCATCCAAGCATTTCGGTTGGTTTGTCTCGTGAGTAGCTACAATCTTTCCACATCTTTCACTTGAATCGGTGATGGGTAACACTGCAGCGTCTAGCGCTGAAAAGGCCCTAAGCCTCAGCAGCGCCCCACACACCATGCCATGTAATATCTTAAGGAAAAACTGTACCAACCAGCTTAAATAAATGTATTTTTGACTTTGCAGCGTCTTTAGTAACAAATATTAACCGGTAGCTACCTGTATGAAGATGTTTCCTCTGCAGCCAAATCCTGAGAATTTAAGTTTCAAACCCCATCGTGGCTCTAATTGCTAAAGGCTTTTGAGGGTGATTAGGAATAATACCAGAAGAATGTTAAGACTTTTAATTTCACACCGAGTGAATCGTGAGAAATAAAACGTATCTTTAAGATTATTATTACACTTAGATGAAATCGTTCAAACTAAAGGTGCATGTTGCATAGGGAGACACACAGTCCAGTCCGACTTTCGATACGGACGGGCTTCAGTTGTTATTTTCAGACTACAACGGACTAGGAAAAACATCGGGCTACTCGGTCCGGCTTCAGTCGGTCATTGTTCAGTATATCCTACATCGGTATCAGGTTACGCTTGTGTGACGTCGAACTTGGAAGCCAGAGAACGAAATATGAATAAATTCTATTGCAAGTAAAAGTGTACCTCTAATCTTTTACATCAATTAATTTAGAAAATTTGCCTACAAAGCTAAGTCATTTACGACACCGGTTCTCGGATTCTGTTTGAACCTTGCACCTCTAGTTCAAACTAAAAATTAGTACCGATGTGTGTTTCATATTTTACACTAAAATAAAAAATGAGAGAGTTGTACTTGACTGCAAAAAATATGTGGGGGGAAAAATTGAAAAAGGAAATTACTAACCGAATCTACAGAATTATCGTAAGACTCATGTCGCGCTACAGTTTTAGTTTGCTGGTCCATTAACTGAACTAAAAACTATAACCCTACAACTGGAGAATGACATGTCTGAAAGTCACAGATATGCACAGTGGGAACCACTACAGCGACTCTATAGATCCTTCTGTGAACTAAAAGAAGGAGGCGACAATGCAGACATTTCCGAGTCTTTATTCCGTGGGTGTGTAGAAGAAAGAAGAGTGAATAGCGAATGTCTTTATCTTGGAGTTCAAAAAATAGATCTATTAAAGATAGGTTGTGGTCAATGAGTCTAATACTACATCATGATGAACAATATTAAACATCAATGAAAAATAATTCACCGTAAAAAGTGTCCATGATATTTACATCAAATGTAATAATTCGATTCACAAATGGCCATATAATACTCTATAAATGACCTAGTACTTGACAACCACTCAATTGTCTTACAAATTTTGCAGATAAACTAGAACCTAGAACAGTTACTGAACGTCCAATCTACGACAAATCTACATACATATTTACTGCTAGTGTTGAAGATGTCGAAAATGTTGTGTTCATTACCAAGGTAATAGGGAAAAGAAAGTTCATGTATATGGATGTATATGAAAGTAAAATTCGCCTTGGACCCTCATTCGGGAAACGCAAGTTCACAGTCATACACCCTCGTAGAAAATACTAAACAACTACTGGTAGAGAAAAACGCTGATAGCAACTCTGGACCGGTAAATTGATGAACTAACATCCTTACTTTCCGATAGATAAACCACGTAAATTGGTAGTTCCTTCCGGTTTAATAAATATCAGCACGCGCTAGGAGCCCCTGTAACCTAGTTGTCGTGGCTGCAATGATGAAGGAATTTTTCATTCATATTCGACGCTCTCCTTCTACAAAAAATCTACACGGCGTTTGTGAAAGATATGCAGAAAAAATTAGGTAAATCCGGACATCTCAAAAAAAATACCCCAGTCTACACTTTTCTTGTGCCAATGAAAAATATTAATTAGGTGCAAGGTATACAAGAGAGAAAAGAAAACCAGTCGAGTGAATAGGACCATGTTAAGGAATACGTTTGACTATTTTACAATGTGTCACTGTGAGTTTTAATGGAGGAGGAATAACAATTATCTAACAATTAACAGAGGAGAATCGCCGTATCGACTAACCTGAGAAACTCATTAACTAAGTATTTAACAAAATTAAGCGAAAGATACGTTGAGAAAATACCTAATAAAGAGATAAAGAAGTTTATCCTGCTATCGTTTTTTTAACAGATAAACCAACGCGCCTTTCTTATTGGTCATGTACTTACTCTACTTAATTATAGTTTCTGGAAGTTGCAAAGTAAAATTGACATTGTCTATTACAATAAGTGCTCGAGATGACGTCTTTGACTTCTAATAATGGCTTCCACACGTTGAATCGGTGATTGCTGTGTCCTAAAGATCGTATCAGGATTAGCTCCAATGTTTGTCGCAACTTCCCCAATGCGATTTCTTAACTGTTCAACTGTCCAACGGGGCCTGATAGACCAAATGCTTCATGTACCCCCACAAAAAGAAATCGCAAGGCCATAACATTCTGCCTATCCACCGTCCTGGGAAGTTCTTCTTGAATCATGCTCACACTTCAGGAGCAATGAGCAAGGGCCCCATTGTGGAGAAACTACAAATCACGTCGATTCATCTAGTGGTACATCCTTTAAAAAGTTACCTAAGATGATATTTAAAAACTCTAAATAAACGGCGGTTGTTAACCGAAGTGGTAAAATGTATGTTAAAATTATTGGGTGATTTCCAATCATTTCTACTCAAACATTGACACTGAAGCGATTCTTAAAGTGCGTTTCTTGAATTCTGGCGGATTTTCGTCTGACTAAACATATGGGTTATGGGAATAAAAAATCTAATCTCTCGTAAATGTTGCCTCATATGTTAAAAATAATCATTTATTGAAGTGTGGATCTTTCCTTTTTTTTTTTTTTGAAGCAACTATTTACAGAACGCAATCCTTTTTGGCAAATCGTCAGGCTTTAAGTGTAGTACGCGTTGCACATGATACGGGTGTAGTGTTCATTTAAGGTCCTCTGAACTACAAATGCGGATGCCCCATCTTCATACGCTTATGCCAGGTTTTTCTTCCACGATATTTAAAATTTCGGGTTCTGTATTTAGTGTTTGTGACGTACGTGAAAGAAATCCTTAATTTTCTCGGGCATGCAGAACAATAGCATTGAAAGTTCTATGGTCTGGTAAAAACCAGTCGGGGAAACCTTCAGCGTAGAGACGTCGAACTTCAAGACGATTTCCATTGAAATTCTGACCAATTTTGTGGAGAATTTTATCTCAAAAACGAAAATATTTGAGATTTTGAATTTATGACATGTGTTTCTCATATCCAATTTCCCGCTTCTTTTTTTACATACCTTTTTAAAGTACCCTGTATACTGGGATAGATCTAACGTGGCTTGGCTAAAACCAAACAGCTTCCACCCAAAAATGAGAAGAATTACTAGAGACAAAGGCGAGATCTACGAGGAAAGACCAGTACTTACGGTCCCTAACATAGTAGACTTTGAGTGATGCAGACGTAATTTAACATATTTAAAGGTTAATCTTTTGTCATGAAACTAGTTGAGTTTCACTTGTCTTGCTTGTTTCATTTTAAGATTATTTGCAAGTAGTCGTTTTTTGCAAAAATTGTCGCCAACGGAGATTCAGAAAGATATGTTGGCTGTATTGGGGGAGAATGCTCCTTCTTATCAAGTGATAAAAAATATGTGTGGAGAGTTCAAATTGAGTAGGCAGATGTGTAAACATGCAAAAGGACCAGTGACTGTTTCTACTAAAGAAAATGCTGATACTGTGCATGACATGGTGATGGACGATTGACTATTCGTCGGATAGCTGAAATGACAAGAATATATGGTTCTATGGAAAATATATCAACAAATATCTTGTGTCTTAAAAAGTTGTCTGCGCGTTGGGTCTCGAGAATATTGACACACTTGATCAGAAACGGTTTAGAGCAGTTCATTCTGAAATCAATTTGGTAAAGTTTAAAACCGATCCAAATGGATCAAAAAACAAAGTATGGAATGTTATGGCCACAACTTTTTGGGTTGCGACAGGAATCCTGATGGTTCATTATTTTGAGCGTAGGCACACAATAACGGGCTACTATTTAATTTCAAAACTGCGCGAATGTATTAAAGAAAAAAGACGGGAAAAGTTGAGTGCAGGAATTTTGTTCCATCAGGACAACGCTCCATTATCAAAAGTCATGTTGCAATGACGCAGGATTCGAGTTGTCGGCACACCCTGCTTATTCACCAGACCTGCCCCCTAGTGACGTTTAATTTGTTCCCAAAATTAAAAGAATATCTTCGTGGCAATAAACATGGTGACGATGACGAAGTGATGTTTGCCGTAAACGACTGGTTAGACGAGCAAGCTAACGATTTTTTTTTTTCAAGGAAATCCAAGCACTGGAACATCGTTGAGAAAAAGCGTTGGTGACTATGTAGAAACATATTGATGTAATTTTTGTTATATCTGATACTCTAGCATGTCACGGACCGTAAAAACTGATCTTCCCTCGTAAATACTAGTTAGCGCTTCATCGGTTCAATCCTCCCCGAACAATCTTGTATCCAGTATCCTCCGGTTGGTCGTTACTTTAAGTTTACAGTTTTAAATTTTTGTTGAAACTCTCTTAACAACCGGCATTATTTGCAAGTCAAGAAAATTAAGATTTAAATAATTATAGTTAAAAAAACATGCTTTTAACGGTAAATGTCACACACGACTTTTGTTACTACTCTCAAGAGTACGATTGCACTCAAATTTTGGTGGCGTATGGGAAAAGTTCGAGAGTAGAGTACCAAATTATTGTGGTGTCATCCAAATTACACACTCTCCCAAAGTTTCAAATCGATACGATAATTAGAAGTAGGTTAAAATCGACTTCCTAGATTTGTTTACATAGTTTGTTACAAGTTTAGTGAAGCTAATATAAGCGTGTTAAAAAGCAAATTATATGCACATCAGTTTTTCAAATTCCGGAGACTGCAACTGTTCAATGTAACAACATCTGCTAGTGTCAGACAGTTAAAAAACTTAAGACAGTTAAAAATGTAATGAGAAACAGCAAATCTACCTCTTTTGTAATAACATATTGTTAATAATAAAAATTTAAACTAAATGACAAATCGTGTCTCGTACTTTTTCATTTTGTGGATTGAGTGACGAATGAATTTTTCACAAAACACTTAAACGCAGATCAGAACATACCTGCTGAGCTTTGGGTCTTCTTCGTGGTGTTTCGATTTATTCCGGTCGCAGATGAACGCCAGAATTCCTGCTCTGTTCACAGAGAAGCAGATTAGGTCCACAAAAATCAAGATTAGAATGACAGCACCCACGACTATTCCAATTATAGCCAAGTTAGTGACTGCCGGCGCTTCATTAGTGTAGGGAATCGTCGGGTCGCTACCTATTGAACAGAGTCTGGTAAGTACAAGACCACGTACTTGTTGGAACTAAAGCAGTTCAATTTAGTATGTTAGTTGAGTTGTGAACGTGTTAAAAATGTGATCGAACGCGATATATTCGAATCACATTTTTAAGAGCGCAGCAGTTGTGGAAAGTGTGAGCGATTTATATCCCGTCTTGTATCTTATAGATGTCTCTATTCTATTCTACGTACAGCCCATGCCGGTTTCTAACAAAAAAACAGCTGATAAATTATTAAACTCTGAAAGAATGATAAGTAGGAAATAATACTAAGAATAAACTAAAAATGGGGGTCACGAATAATCCGTTTTTATTGTGTGGATATTCACAAAACCTATGATTTGTGAATATTTCGTGTCTGTTAGTATATTACACCCAAAAATAAACCCAACGGCATGCAAAGCATAACAGTTTCAAAAAAAGCGGGTCGTATCTAAATACCAAGACAATAAAAACAGAATGAGACGTAATGAAAACTGTAATTAATTTATTGCTTGAGCATAACAGCTGCGCATCCATTCTGTCTTTAAGCTTGGACCGGCTAAGATAACAAGAAGCTACGTACATTTCCGTCAAGTCGTTTTTGTCCCTTGTCGTTTAAACACAGTGAAAAGCAAGAATTCACTTAAAAGCCACTTTCAATATCACTTCACAAAAGCACAACTTAAAAGACATACAAAACTAACGAATTTAACTCAAAACGATATTTCAGACGATTTTATTGATTTAATTATTTTGATATAAATTGACATGTTTACTTTTATTAATGCGTAAATAATAAACTATTACAATCAGATTGTGTTGGTTTGGATTTTCGTTGATGACTTAAATTTATTGTCCAATTATGTAAAAAATTCGACAGAACTATAAAAAACTATAACATAACCCTTCAAAAAGTTTTTAGATCTACGTGAATGGCAAACCTAAAATTAATAACAAAAAAGAAAAATCTAAAAACTTTTTTAAGTACAAAAACAAATATCGAAACATGCAAACGTGCAAACATTAACTAATCTGGCACAAATACTCAAAGCAATAGAGGTCTCCGTTGTAGTGACGGTACAATAAATTCATCTCGCAATTCTCGAAGTCAGTCTTCTCTAATTTAGATAATTTTAAAACCTTTAAACGTCAACAATTAAATAAAGTTTTCAACTACTACAAACACCTCTTTGCGACAATGTTTGGTATTTGCATAAGGAAACAGTCGTATAAGTAATTAGAATTCGAAACAATGCTTTAAAATTTTTGTACTACCTAACAATATAATTTTTAGTCGGCAGCACAGGATGGTTAACAACTGAGTATTTTAACAATATTAACGCTTACAACATGCTCTGGTCGTCGATCATACGCAACATTCATACTCATCTGCATGCAAAGAAATAGTAAGTCTACATGTTAGTAGATAGTGAAGAACTCAAGAAGCTCAATAAAAACGGATATGACATTCAAAGCTGCATCTTAAATAGAAAAGAAACTTAATTTAAAAAAAAGTAAAGCACTTTTTCATGCTCGGATATATATACAAACTCAACGATAACAACGCGATGGAATGTGTGACATAAATCATGCCAAAAAGCTCCATAACATATTTTATAATATACACTCTATTTTTACACAATTTTAAAAGAAAACAGAAACTAGTTAATTCTACGATGCGTGATTATACCATGTAGTATTTACACAATTAATTTATCGAATGGGAACACATTTAATTTAATTAAACCCCTGTAGTGAGACAGTTTATACGGCTTTCCCATTTAGCACCGACTCGTATAAAACGCACAAAACACTACGATTATAGTCATTGAAGCCTGTAGAGGGATATAGAAAGATGCACTTGAAGTCGAGCTCCCATAAAAAACACCTGGAGGGGAGGGTATTGTTAAAAAGATAATGGAACACACACACCACAAAATAATAAAAATCAGTTTGCATAACCGCGTTCGTTGAAAAAGCACTGTTCTATTTTTATTATTTTGTTCGGAACACACACAAAAAAGCAACAAAATTCAAACTAAAAGAACAAAAATTTACTGATTAAAACAAAAAATGGAATCAGTCTAATACTAGCAACACAAATAGTTCCCGTACTGTATGTATCGTAACTATAATATTCCTGTTGCTCACCTCTGGCTGTTTTCACTCTGATTTGGGCTGGTGAACTTGAACCTATTGTGTTATGTGCACGCAATTCAATTTTGTAAACAGTGTCGGGTTTGAGCGAATTCAATTCGTAGCTTGTGTACTGTACAGACTGCTTAATTTCTTCGCTGCACTCACTGTCCCGCCACTCTCCACTAATCTTTTGTACCTGTAAGTATAAAACCAACTCCTAGTCATGATAAAGAAGATCTCTGCATCGTATTGAATACATTTTTTTTATTTTGTTATTTCAACCGATCAACTTGAGAAGTCACGTTAAAAGAAGAGCCACGTAACTTGGGGAGCTTTACTCTTTACGATAAAACTAACTTACGTCGCAGCGCACTTACCACACAGTATCTTATAAGGTAGCCATCGATCGGATCTCCATTGTCGTTAGGGACTTGCCACCGTAATTCGAAATGATCAGCGTAAGGACTAACAGCAATTACGTCTTGTCGGTTGCTAGTATTATCTTGTATGCTGTGATTTGGTACGTGGATTTTCGGTTCAGCGGGTTCCGATCTCCTTGGCATAGTTATCGTAGGACCGTTAGACCATGGACCAAAACCGACATCGTTCGTTGCGGCAAATTGGAAATGGTATGTTCGTTCCGGAATAAGATTTTCCAAAATGTAGGGTGCCTCTAAAAAAAAAATTGGAATTATTTATTTAGAACCGTATAAATGTAATTAATCTACGAATGACTGAACTATGAACACACGATAAGACGGGACATCTATCCAATATTTAAATTTCACACACTAATTTAAGATTTTATTTGCAGTTTCCGGCAATACATATTTTAAAAAATGTGCCGATTGAGGTTCCAGCACAGTACACTTTTGGACTGACAATTTTGAAAAATTACTTTTGATTCAATTTTATTTTTCTTTACTTTACTTAAATTTTAATTATACCAACTATACTCTTAAATACCTGAAAATAATTGCTGGTATAAATAACTAAATTTGACTGTATATCATTCTTCACAAAAATAGTAAACTGAAGCAAAACTAACATAAAAAAGAAAAATTGAACGAGGCTAGGCGTTACTTAGTTAAAAGTTTGAGGTTTGTCGCTTTCGTAATTCATGTTTTCATGCGGACCGTTAAAAAGTAAAAATAAGTTACGTTAAAAGTCATGATTTCTATGCAGCTTTCAGTTTTTGACAAATGACAAACAAGGGAAACTAATCGGAACTAATATCAGATGCGTAACAGATTATCAGCACGTGACTGTTTATAAGCCTCTTATTTAGCGACCTACTCTTTTGATGACAATTAGTATGGTAAATGCATTATTACCAATTACTGCTAATGCGTTAGTATATGTATACATACAAAATTTTAACTTTTGCACAACTTATTCCACTGTTATAGATTATTGTAGTAACATATTAATTCGTATAATTTTTTTTTTAATAAATTGTGAAAAAAATCAACCTCTGTTTACTGTTGTCAACTGAAGCATTTTTGATGTTTTTTTTAAATATCCCCCTGATTAACTTAATCAGTATCTGGATTTGAGAAAATAATACTAGACACTCTAACCACAGGCATTAAAAAAGATAAAAATTGAAGTTACACATACAAAATATATCTTTTCTAGCGTTTGGTATTTAAGCAGATTGAATTTAAAAAAATATAACGACGTACGTCACACACAAAAAAAACTTGTAACAGTATGTGTCATTTTGCCTTTACAAGACACCATATAAATTATGTGAGTGTTATTAAAAAATCAGTACACATGAATAGAATGTAAAAGGTTGTTATTAATTATTTAAACAGTACTCTAAATTTTCCATGGATTTTAATATTTTTTTCAATTTTACCTTTTAAATTAACGAATACCTGGAGTGAGAATAAATAACCCACTTGTAAGATCTAAAGTTATTTTGAGAATAAATTTATAATTTTATCAATGCAACGAAGTTCACGATACAGTCTTTTTAACTGATTGGCACTTAGCAATAGTCCTGTTATTTTCTGTTTGAAAATTTAAAATTAATTTATTTTGAAAGTCTAAAGTTTTCAGGATAAAAGCCGCCAATTTTCAGCCACGTTCCCCATCATCTAATTATTACTGGTTCTCTCGACAAAGGAATATTGAGCAATTTTTGTTCACCATTAATAGCATTCTTAGTAAAGGTTCTCAAAAAATGTTTTCCCCAAAATCGAATTAATTCAACCAAACATAACTTTTAACTTAATATAAAAACCAAATAAATATCGACAAAAATGTCGGAAAATTTGCAACATTGGAGAAAAGAGATCCAAATTACTAAAATTAAACAACACATTTCGAAAAACAGGATGATTTTTTCAAATAAAAAAATATCCCATAACAGTGGCTGTAAATATTAGACATTTAAACTTTAATGCTTTCAAAGTTTTCATTGCGTAAATTTACTTGGCCTCTTGTTGATCCTTGAGAATACATAAAACGCTTATATTTTTATTGAAGTTTTTACACGATCCCTACTCGCAGCAACACCACAAAAACAGCATTGTTAGAGGACAATTCTGACGTAAATAGCTACCACAAAACATAAATCATAACAGCTCTGAAGAAAGGAAATACTAAAAATTGAGACTGTTGCTCGGCCCCCGAACAAAATGAGAATCCCGCAATTTTCGACCGGCTAAACAAAATTAACAAATGCAAAAAAGTACGGTATATTAACAACTGTATCTATCTATAATTATAATAAAGTTTTGTCTCCGATATTTTACTTAGTTGCAATGTCTGCCCGTCGTTAATGATAAATAACTAAATAATTTAGTTGCCCAACAGAAACTTCCAATAATAGGACAATATTAATTAAACATAATGAAAAACTAATAAGAAAAACAAAACATACCATAAAATGAAATAAGAATAAAACTTTAAACTGTAAACCCTACCACATAAGTGAGTTTTATATAAACTTGTGTAAATAATATGAAACAGAAATTTCACAAAAATAGGTCTTCATATTCCTTGTGGCAACTGTTAGAACATAGGAACTTCAGAAATTTTCTTTGAATTCTTTCTACTTGAATATTATGACATGCATAAAATGGGTACATATTACATAATGATATTAAAACTAAAAACAATCAACGGCACTGTTGCTTATTTGTTTATTTTTCCCGCGTTGAGGAATAAACAATATGCTCCAAATCGTCGGTAAAAGAATAATAATAATAATAAAAACCACGATATGTGTAACATGGATACGAGGATGATTTTTTTTTAGCCGAGTTAAACAACCTTTCGAGAGAGATAAAAGCGTTTCGCAAATGAATTGAGCATACGTAAAATGTAAAGTGGATTTTAATAATGGAATAATAATTTCGTGCAATTGATTTATTCTGATGCACTTAAACGTCATTCCGACTGAATACAACTCCCTCCAATGTTCACAACTCGATAGTTTAAATGTGATAATATTGGTTCAATTTTTTCCTATTGGTAGCACAACAAAAGAAAATTGCAAATAAATTTTAAGTTACGTAGTGACAAATTTTGACTTTGTCTTGTGTGATTTATCTTTTTCTTTTTGAATAAACCATTTGTAAATAAATTGTTCATTATACAATTCTGATTTCACATAAAATCTACGAAAAAATTACGTGAAATTACTACAGCAACATTAACGACCATTAGCGAAAAATTTTGTGAAACAACTGCTGAAAATGTCGAACACGCTAGTACAAAGTAGTTACCTAATTGTAACAGTGTAAAAAGACTGAGCTAATTTTCTCGTGACTTGAAAAATGTCTACCGTAATTAAGGTCCAAATAAACCACACGCCAACTGAAAAATGACCTGGTTTTTCACATTTTGTAATATAATGTTTTGTGTGTTGATGCCCCAAAATTTATAAAAATTATCACTTGTAATTACAGGAGTGCCCTGAAATTATCGATTGCTGAGTGTCAGTTTGACAGTTTAAATTTCCCAATCCGAAGAAGTAGTACTACTAGTAATAATCATTCATTTGCATAGCAATCTGGAATATTTGAAAAACTTAGTCTACAAATTATCGAATGATAGCTGTAATTTGAAAAAAAACGTGTTTTCTTATTGGTCGAAAAGTTAATGAAATAAAATTACCAATATTAATTAATGCAACTTGGTTCAAATTACTGTATAATTAATTTATACCAAATGCTGTATGATACGCGAGTTGGCATGAAACAAACGAAAATCTGCCCGTAGCGTTGTGCTTTGATGTCCGAAAATTGCAGTCACGAATGAACTTTAGTTTAATATAAATCATTTTCGCACTCAGTTTTATGCGTACAATAAAAGGTGACGAAACAGTTTGTTAACGTATGTTTTTAGATGTTTAAAAAAATATATCTGTTATAACTGCTCCAATCAGTTGCATTTAAATAATAAAAATTCATTTAAAACTAAAAAATAGCAGATTGTGCTACGAGTAAAAAAAAGGTTAAATTTTCAAGAGATAGAAAACTCACTTCTCTTTACTCCAGAATCTACTTTTTTATATACTTGATGAAAGCAAATTTCTATAAAAATTTATATTAAAAAAATGGTGAAGATATTTTAGAAGCGGCACAGGAAGCCTTACTAAATCATGAAACACATATTTTATAAATTTCAAGACGTCTGCAGCTACACAGGACATTGTTTGCATGGGTCTTCAACAACTTCAGCCAAAATATATATAGAAGACAATATGCAAAATGTAATTAAAACATCAACTACGTTTGCATCACATGCGTTAAATTTTGGTAACTTAACAAACTGTGCTTTTAATATTTATCACAATAAATCGCAATTATGAACGAATGTTTGTGGTAGTCAGAATGTCATTTGACTGAATTTGTATACTGTTTTTTAAATATTAAAGTGTTGCTCACTAGTAAAATTGAACATTAGTTTATTGTTTTCTATAAAGTAAAGTAATATTTTCGATCAAGAATATAAAAATAAATTTAGATTTTGGCAACAATTTTTGTAAACGTTAAAGCATAAAGATAACTAAGCCGTTACCACATTTCCTTTCGTGCACGTACAATGTTGTAGGTATCTCGTGTAAACTCATGATTTTACCTTGTTACAACTTTACGCGATTTTCACGCTACGAACAGGACGACTAAGTTTGTACACCTGTTACATACATGAGCTGTGTAAAAAGATTCTTTTAAACTTTGTCCCATTTCGTTAAATATCTAGGTGAGAAAATGTATAATCCACAAAGAACTTGAAAACTAAAACTAAAAGAACAATTTTCACTTACGGAAACTCCAAGTATGATTCCTCGCGTAGTCCCACGACACATCTTGTTCCGGCCGATATCGCACCGTAAAGGTTCTAATGGGTAACGTATCAAAGTGTATTGGAGGGGTTAAACTCCATTTGATCGTCGTCGCCGTAATGCTCTGAGCTTTGATTTGCTGCAAATGTTCAGGTTTTTTCGCCTCTTTCAACTCGAGCGGATGCGATACGCTTCCGTGTTTATTAGTCGCAATACACTCATATTTTCCGAAAAATCCTGGATCGTTATACGGTTTCACAATCAAGTGAGAAATGGGTCCATTGCCTTCTATTTTAAAGTTCTGGTTAGCAGACTCAATTTGAATACCATTACGTTTCCACACAATAGTTGCATTTGGAATAGCTTCCGGTATACACGTCAAATTACCGGGGTGGTTAAGCCAAGCCCAGGCTGTGCGATGTAACTCCTTCGTTCTTTCGAACGTTGGTCCAAACTCAACCGTAATGTGTCCATTTTTGTACCCAGTTCCAGCTTTGTTCTCCGCTATACACTCGTACAAACCGTCGTCGGTTCGATTAAGTTTGTTTATGATTAGTGTTCCATACACCTCGCTGTCTCTTTCATTTTGCTTTTCTTCTAGAATTATTCGGTTACCCTGATGTGATCCAATGCTGAATGGTTCTTTGCTACTCCGTTTTCTGAAGACCACTTTAGGTAAAGGTCTTCCTCTTACTTTACAAATAAGTTGAGTTGGTTCACCTACAGGGGCCGTAACATTCCGGAGCTCGAAAATCCTTGGTTTCACCAAAACGTCGATTTTCACTGTGCTTTCAGCGAAACCTGCCTGGTTCTGGGCAGTGCATTTGTAATCGCCATCGTCATTAAATTCTACCTTACTGATAATAAGATCTCCTGTGTTCTTCTTGACATCGAAACGGCTACTTTTGGAAAGATCTTCGCTATTGCGCAATTTAATCCAAGTGTATGTTGGGGGTGGTTTTCCTGTCGCAACACACTTTGTCCACGTGGTTTCTCCTTCGATGACCGAGACTCGCTCCATTGGCTTAATGGTGGGTGGTATTATAACTTCGACCTGAAACAACCAGAAAACATGCAATACATGAGTAATGAGTTTTAAGTATTTATAAGCACTATTTGTACATCGACGCTTGGGAGTCATTTAGATGGTTTTTTACATTCTTCACAAACAGTAAAATGAGTAAACTAAAAATAGGCGAAGGTCAGCTAAGAAAATAATAAAACACAATTGAAATTGCCATCGAATGTGAAACATGTGTTACTACTTAGACCATGTAATCAACAAGCGTTGATGAAGTGATGTATTTATTTAGTAAAACCTACTCATTAAAACAACTTGAGTCATAGGTTTTTTGATTTTGCTGAGATATACTCATAATCACCAATTGTATGTTGCATAAAATATCTAATAATGTGCAATTTTGTTTGTTTGCCTACATTTGTTACGTTGATGTGCAGCAATAAAACGCATTACATTAAAAGACAAATTATGGTATTTATTGTTTTTGTTTCGAAAAAAAAATTATGTAACACTTGTTTAAAGAGTATATTTTCATCATTTATCGATACTGGAGTCAGTATTCTAATTTCAGAAAGTTGATTATACGAAGCGGTCATTTTATTAAATATTGAAAGAATTAAATATTCAACACCCTCCTTTAATCAAGTTAAAAACTATTGATTAAAATCCGGTTCTTTATTTATGTAACTTGTTGTAAGCAAATAATTATCAAGATCTGGGCATTGTTCGCTGATTTTGAAACATTGGTATTGATTTTACGATAAAAACTTAAAATTGTTAAACAGCATTGACATGTAGAGAAGAACGGATAAATTCATGAAAACGTCGAGCTGTACTTATCGTGGATATACACGATATAGAATTAAATTATGTAAACGCTGCTGCTCTTAGTTTGAAGCAGGATAGCTAATTGGTTGTACAGCGTACGGATGCATCTTTGCTAATTTTCTAATGAATTCAGGGCAACGATAATGCAAAGTTTTGAACCAAATAAATTTATCCATTAGACACTAACAAAGTGAAGTCGGTTTTAGAAATGACTTGATCATAAAAACAAAAATAAAGACCCTTGTTAAGATTTGGCGAAAACTTTTGAAGCTGAATTCAGATACAATTTTTTTTTAAACAATTGTCTTAATTTTATACATAATTTATGAGGAACAATTACTTTTAAAACTCACCATACATGTGGTTCAGAACTTAAATTTTTTGCGTGCGATTAATTTTTCTCTAAGTTACTAATTTTTTCGACATTGTGAACACTTTACTAATAAAATACTAAAACATAAATTTACAATTATCATCATGTTGCACTAGTTTTCAGTTTAAATTTGGCTTATATGACTGGTAACTACAGTTCGTTCACCTAATAAAGTTTTGGCGGAAGTAACTAAGTCAGTAAAAAACTGAACGAATGATGGAAAATAATCTGTAATAAAATTTCTAGGAAGATTTATTAGGCCCATCAAAATAGACGCCAACCAGATGTTCCAAGTTAGCAGGTGGTAGACTAGAATTTGTAATGAAATATAGAGTACATACCCAATATACATATGCACACGATTCTCCTTAAAACTTGTGTAAATCTACTACTTTTTAAAAATAAATCTGTAAGTTATGACATCTTACAGCGAGTTGAACGGATATCGTACAAATCTATTTTATTTGGATCAATACAAAATTAAACTACTATTTGTATAAAATTACCTAATATACACTGACTGGCGAAAAAAGACGACCACTCTAAGATATTGCACTATTTCCGTTACTTTTTTAAATTAAATGTAACTCTGTATTTATTTGTATCTTTTTTTACCAAATTTGTACATCCTATATCAACGGTGAATGGTTATTTAATAAAATAATAATCAATAGTTAAATTAATAGTATTTTTAATGGGTTTTTGCGAAATATTTCAGGGTGTCCGGTTTTTTTGCCCGTCAGTGCAGTACACAGGATTAACACTAGAATATGTACTTATAAAAAACTTTCGAGCCAACGATCTTCCTTTCATTTGTTATTTCAAAATTTCTTTGTATAAATTTTATTATGGATCAAAAAAGCTTGTTTTTTCGTTGCTCATACATTGCTTAGGTACTAAATAAAGTTTATCATGTTTGTTGCTTCGATCCAAAAAATGCAAAACAAAGCCATTGTATTGCTGCGACTCGGTGCAAACAAGACGATTTAAACAAAAAAAAAAAAAACAAAAAAAAATCAACTCAGATTCATAAACCACAAGTACTGGAGTATGTTATTTTATAAAATTTCATAATTTGATTAGCGTTTTTTCATCTAGGTACACGATATTCCTAACATACATGCAGAAACTGACAACAATCGGTCCACTAGTTTCGGAAATCTGTCTGATGCAAATCGGCACAAACAAACGGACGATAATTTTTTTTTCGTCAAGAAAACAGGAAAGTAGCCCGTCGCTCGATGGACTCTGCGGATGTTATATTTCCTTCGCTTACTCGGGAAGTAAAAAGCGAATTCGAAACGATATGGAACTATTTCTCATAATAGTGTGTTCCAGTGTTCAAAAACAATATACTTACAATCACAGTACATTGGCTTCCAAAGTTCAAGACCCCACTATATAACTCCTATAATGTAATATTTTATAGGTAATTAATGCCTTTAAAAAAAAAAACAACTACTAGAATAAAAATGTTACTACAGAAGCCTTTACCGGCAGGGATCAGTAGTTTAATTTTGCAGATTTTTTTGATAGACTACAATGGAAAAAAGAAAAAACTTCAAACACATATGCAGTACGTTGCAAACTCAAGAATTCCAACACGAAGTAACAGTTGAACTTAAAATGCTGCTTAAATTGATTACAAAAACGTGACGTTAGCTACGTACAGCCCACGTTTCTTTGATATGTACGTAACTTGATCTTAAAAATTCTAATCGACTTTCGTACAACACAGCACCCCCTCACCATGCTACAAGCAACGGTAACAAAGTTATCATTAAAAAAGTTGTATTTTGACAAACAAACTTAAAACATACGCAATCCTAATCACCCATCCGTTAACTTTAACTTTTAGTATAGTTTAATTAGGTTTTAATCTCATTTTGAATTACACAGATAAATCCTGTAGTCACTGTAAATACAATACATATCTCACCGGAATGTGATTTTCCGCTAAAAACATAATTTCGAATTATTTTGCAATAAAGCATACACAATGTGTTTTAAATCCACTAATTACATTTACTCCACGTGAATGGAGCTTTATTATCCAAACACTTTAAAATATAGTTTATCTATTATAGAATAACATAATTTTAAATTTATAAGCACCTAATTATATTGGTTACAATTTGTAATTTATTCGTAATATATCACGTCCATTTTAATTTAGTTCACGCATGTATGCTTGCACATTTTGTGGTTGTTTTTATTACTGTTACCACAATTATATATATCCACTCAACAAAAACGACGGAACGAGAAACTATTAACTGCAACTGATTTAAATGAATTTGCCTACCTTGATACTTCTCATTTTAAATTGTCCAGTGTGTAAAACAAACGCCGTACACATATATACTCCGTCGTCCGATTCTTTAACATTTTTAATTAACAGTCCCTCGTTTTGCACAATATATCGCTCACTGGATACCATGGTTTTACCATCCTTGTTCCAATCGACGAAAGGTGTTGGGTTGCCCTGAACCTTACACTTAACAAGATAGTCCTCCCCCGCTTTAGGGAACTGTGATTCCGGAGCGTCCACGAAAGTTATGTCCACTGAAATTAGAAAAGTTTTATTTTTATTGATGCGGTCAAATCAAAAAACTTACCGAATGTATTGACAGTCACCGTGGACTTCAACTCTTCGCTGGCGTAATTAGCCGAACAAGTGTAGTTGCCGGCGTGACTTTCGTCGAGTTTCTGGAAGATCAAAACTAGTCCGGGCTCGTCTCCTATACTCTGAAAATGAAAATTTTCATTAATAATGTGACTTTGATTAAAACATGAGCTGAGTTGACAGCACGTATTTGCTAAAGAAAATTGAAAACTGAACGTTCTCACGTTTTACGTTTTCTTTTCCGAACAAAATACTTCATAGTCAAATTACCCGATCGTCGATGTTGATTCATTTTCTTTTTCTCAGTCAATATCGTATTTTCTTAGTAACTTTTCAGTCTTCCGTTGCTTCCCGTCGAGATTGTAATTTTACAATTTTAAATTTCTTTCGTAATAAGTTTTCTTTCTTTGTAATAAATCATTAATTTCCTGTTTTTAATCAATTTTATTGTATTGTGAGCCTTCGCCTATTTTTTGTGCCTAACTTTTCTCTTATTTCGGAGCAAAGTTCGGAACGACGTCATCATTCAGTTGGGTTTTTTATTGATTTAACTCAAAAAAGCTTGTTTCTTTCAGAACTTGCGGAATAGACGCTGCCTACAGAATTTCTCATATCTACACTTTAAGGCAAGAGAAATAGTTGCGTATTGATCACTCGTCTGTACTATTAGATTAAGCTCCAAATAAAATCTTTTGCTATGCGCAATACATCGAAATTTATGCCTGAAAACTTGTTATATATGCGGTGCTACACTACAAAACCCTTTCAAGCAGAACTCGAGATGACTGCTTGATAATTTCATACTTTGTAATTTCTTAAAACATTTAACCTTAATTTACTGAACTGCAAATCATCATTAGTGCCTGACAAGAGTTAAAAGTTAAGACACAAATAAAGGTTTCAACTAAACATCGTAGAAGAAACGAATATTACTCTTTAACTAAGGTGCCCAACTTTCCGAGAAATAAAAGCGGAACGGAGTAAGATTTAAACATTTATTACATCAACCAAGAGAAAAAAAAAACCTAGCTGAACATTTGTAAGCAATTATGCATACCTTTGTATTAACAAAGTATATTTTTAAAAACAATCATTTTCTCTGGGAAAAAAAATTGAATATTAATACAAATTCTTTGATCTCTCCAACACGAAATTTCATTTTCAAACGTGTTTTCTTTAAATAGCTGTTCATTTATTCATTCATGGGAGTTATAACCTCTAAAAGTTCTTGTATTTTTTTAATTGAATACGTATATTTTTAAAAGCACTCAATCAAACTTTTGTAAATTATGAATTTCATTGTTTGAAATATTTAGATTAACATTTTTAGATTGCAGATCTTCACAATAATAACATGCGTTGCAAAACTAAAGGAAAAATTCTACATTATTTCTTTCTTCCAATTTAAGTATCAAACTGTCACAAATGTTTAAAGCTTGAAAGCATGAAATAAGTTCTGCATCCAAATTTGTTATAGTTTTATGAAAAGAAACACCATATTATGAGTAAAAAAGTCAATATTTAATTTCAAAATTTTCAAAATATTTTTTTATTATTGTCGGGCATTTAGGAACAGGGAGAAAATGGAATTTTAAAGCGACATATGCTATATATGACCAAATGAGTATAACCTATTATGATATTCAGTTTGTACAAAATCACAAAATTCTTGTTTTGCTTGGTTACTAACAATTCATTTGGTAAAATATCTTAAACAATTATTGGTCATACCACCGATCCCTACAATCGATGGATTACTAAGACTTGTTTGTCTTCTTCTGGACACCCTATTGAAGATGGTATTGGTGTTATCACTTATCACGGAAAAAAGGTTGAAAAAATTGGTCTAAACTTCTTCAGATAGAACTTTCCTCGCCCCTGAAGTAAAGACGAAGAAATATTGAATAGATTCTTTAAAAAATTCTAGGAGTAATAAAATGAAATTTTCCGAATTTTATTAAAGCCTTATAAGTTAAACTAAATATATGTACATATATTTCAAGTGAACTGAAATGCAATGTAATACTAATAAAAACAGTACTGTATATTCAAATTTTCATTTAATCGATAAAATAAATTTCCTTGCTCTTTAATTTTTTTAGTTGCCCTGTATACGTTATTCTAAAAGATATGAATGCACTGGTAAACCACAATTATAAATTAACAACATTTTGCATATTTTAGAAAGGATATATTAGGCAAAATTTTGAGATGGCGTCATCAATTTTTTGGGAGGGGTTAAACGGATAAATTTTGATTAACGATTTACCATGGTTAGGATAATCTTAAAACGTTTGTTGTTCACAATTTTGATTTATCTCCAAAAATTTGAATGTCTAGGGTAAAAACTCAACAGAATTCATAAATCACAACATAAGTGTAGGAGTATCTTATTATATAAAATTTAAGTAAGACTTACTATTGTAAATTTTTAAGTTGACGTCATTCCGTCCTTGGTGGGGATGATTAGCCAAATTTTGGTTAGCGTTTTATCGTCTACACGACATTCTTAACATACATCTTAAATTTGAAAACAATCGGTCTGATGAAAATGAATCGGTGTAATGAAAATCGACACGACAGACGACAGACAGATGGAAACGAGAGACCTGTTTTTTGTACTCTTGGGGTTACCAAACGTCGAGGAAACATTAAAGTACCCAGTCGTCCGATGGAATCGACCGCAATATTTCCTTAGCTTACGCCCGAAAAGTAAAAATTGGGACAGAATTTATAAGCATGGCAAACAAAAAACCTAAACCTCTCCCGCCTAAATCAGGATTGTTGATCACCTTTATATTCAACATGATCTATCAAAACAAACTAAATATCCAAAATTTCTGGCACATGCGTGTACCGTAATTTCATGCTGAGAATTGTGACTTTGAGGCCCTAATTTTCGGGTTCAAATTTTTAAGATATAGCAAATGGCTTCAAATTTAGCAAAAACTGTCATATTTAACATTCAACTTAAGTTGAGTCATACATATTTTTTTTAAGTTATGCGGTAAGAAGGGAATAAAAAAATTAAAATTAATATATCAAATGTTCAAATTTAATTCTTTAATTACCTCTAGTTGTATCTAAAAAGCTCTTGTTATCTGAGTCAAATTTTCGGTAATAATAGTAACAGATCTGCAAAAATTAACTACATATAGTTGTACAAACCTTCGTTTAAACTGAGACTTTATTAAATTTTAACAGAGCTTTCTAAAGAAAAAATCTGGAGAATTAATAACCGAACTTCTGGGTGGTCACTTCTTTAAAGGTCCTATCTCTGTCTAAAATCTAAATAAAATATGTCCTTATGACAATGTTTATTTCAGTGTGAAGGTATAAATACGCTTTTATCTTGTATTGTGTTGGTTCTGAAGAGAAACGTTCAATTTATTTAACATGCACTTAATGAAATGAGTTATTAGAGGCAACTCAGAAATTCCTGATTGGACAAAATATTCATGGAATCCTTGATAAACAACAATAAAACCCAGACCATCAAATTTTCAACGGTGTTTTAATTGCAAATGGCAAGCTGAAAGCAACAATAATAAGTTTTATTTAACAACGATGTTAATAGAGCAGCTTGTGTAGAAAAAAATTGCTTTCACTGTATGTACATATTTCATTTCCGACAAAAAAGTCGACAATGTTTCGTTTTGGTAATTTATAGAGTTTTGTAAGCTAAAAACAGCTGTGAAAACCGCGTTGTGAAATTTTCATAAATAATTTAGATACTAAATTTTAAAAACACGTGACGCAAAAATTTCACCAAAAGTAAAACAAAAATTATACTTCCCTCGTGGTCGCAGACAAAACCACAAATAGCCCACATTTGATTTATCAAAATTTTGGGACTTTAGTCACTACATTTAAGTGTTAAACCAGAATGACACAAGTGAGAGATATACATTAGGGTGCCAACAAAAAACGTAGTTGCTTTCTTCCAAAACCTGACTACCTCATTTGTATTATTTTACTTACAGATATGTGCAAAAACTAGAGAAGATCAGAAACATTTTAGAGGTCGCTTAAAAGAAATACTGAAAATTGTAAGATTTATTAAATGCAGATAACAACTAGAATTTATTTTTTGCAATCTTTATTAGCAGTCGGGCTTCTGTTTGTATTTGGGAAGTATTTTCTGTGTTTTTCAACTACCTGAAGCAGAAATTGTTTTTGTTCTTCATGAAGACTCAACACTGAGTTGAAAGTTTGTATTAATCTCACTCCACGTTCTGCTGCATCGTTGACCACATTCACTGGACTCCAGCATTAAAAGTCAACAGATTTTCGGTGTTTAAACTCTATGTTATAGTTTAATCAATGAATTTACTCTAGTTTTATTATAAAGTTTTATAATTCGGGTATAATACAATTTCACATTCTTGAAATTGCTTTTTTACCGATTTAGGCTTACTACCCTCTTGACCGACCTCACAGAAACAAGATATTTGGAAAATAACGTAAGAAGATGTTTCCTTTTTTTTAAATCCACTGTTTCAAAGTGTGAGGTTGCAAAAATATGTGCTTTTCATTTTTTACATATAAAAAATTGGCACCCTAATATACATAGATTTCCAACCCGGAAAACGATCATATACATAGATAATGTGGATTTGAACATTCACTTGACGTGTTTGTAAGTGGCACTATGGTGTTAACCTAAATTTTTACCACATTGAATTGTGGCTAAAACTACGTCGTTGTATAGCTTATCACAAATCTCCCGAAAATTTTGACGCAAATGATGAAAATGAACCAAAGGGCCAAAGGACTCGCCTTAACTTGAGTATTAATTTCAGTTCAAAACTGGATTTTAACTGCTACACTGAAAGTACATATTATAAATAAAGGCAACAAAACTGTTAATTCACCGGAGCCGAAAATTTTGTTATCACGAACTAAAATTACTACATAAATCTTTAGTCAAGCCTGTCGTGAATTACGACACACTGACTTTTTACCACATGTCACAATTCCAGCATTTTGAGATTTAAAAAAGTTCTGAAACGATTCGTTAAACGCCCGCTTTAAATTTTACAGTGATAATTAATTTAGTAATTACAAAAACATGTTCCTCTGCTTTGGCTTACCGAACCTAGACATTCGTCATTTTGATTTATATTTCATCGTATCTTCAAATTTTGAAATAGTTTGTGTGGTTGTTCTAACATTTTATCGTAGGAAATGCACTTGTCCCCTGGGGGAAGTAAATACATATGAAAATAATACGCTTGAAAACTCAGTCCCACGACTTAGTAGGCTTTCAAAGAATGTTCGACAAAATGCAGACTTTTCGGAATCGACTTTGCCCATCTGTAGATATACCTTCAGATATTATTCGGCATGTAAATGTATACTTTTTGCAAAGTGGTTTATCCCTAAATAAGCAAATTTGAATTTGAATTGGAAATTTTAGCACCCTAGAAACAGCAAATTCCAGTCAACGTTTTAATTTTTCAAAAATGCCGAGCCAAACTGGATCAGGTCCGATCAGTAGGTTCATTTTTCACTACATTTTTAGTCAGAGTAAAACTACGAATGAGACTCATGATAGATCTTTTGATATATTTTATCATCAGAAACAATCAAAGGTTTCACGGAAAAACCCGCATAGGCTTTTAGAATTTTCACGTTTGTTAGTTTACATCTAAGGCAGGTTATTAAAAATTGCATTTTGCAAAAAGCAGTTATTACTTTTTACGATTCTGCTCTGATTAAAAATTGCATTTTCGGCACATTGCTACGCGTTTAATGAAATTCACAAACAAGGTGAAAAAGCATGCACGTAAAGTCACGAAAGGTGATGAAACCCACGTAAATGTGGAAAATTTCGTTTGTGTATAACAAATGGAGTTATATAGGGATACTGCTTCCGGCGATCATTCGGGCTCTTTCTTGTTGACGCCGGAAGAAACCTTACCGGGTGGAAACGACAAGGAGGCTGGAAGTCTACCTCTTTGGTTGAACGGTATATTCATGAATCAATAGCCAGCAAACTGGACATATCAAATAAAATTATGGACTTGTTTGCAACAGTGAATCATTTGCAACGTGCTGTAACCCCAGAGCGACTGAAAATCAAACATGCCAAAATTATTCAACAACCTTTTTAAGAAATGTGTGAATAACAGTATTGTGTTGAATTTTTATCACAGAAAACTCCCATGTTCATTTGTATGGTTAAATAACAATCAACTGAAATAACATTGCGTAATTTGCTTTTCTAATAAATTCTAAAAGTACAGAGATGAAAAGCGGGTGTAGAAAAATATAGCATTCAACACATCTGAAAGTTCTCTGACTTTGTGCAAAGATTTGACATAATATACAATATATTCTATTCATTCTATTCATTGAAATGTCAGTTTGTATGCAAAAAAGGCATACATACTGATATAAAAATGTTTCCACTTTGTAAAAATATTCGAAATATTATTAACTGAGACGTTTAAATACAGTTATATGATCCTAATTCTTACTTTAACGAGAAATGATTCCGTTTACAAACAGCCATAAATTTTTTTATAAATTTTCCGCCAATGGAAGCTTAACAATAAAGACGGGAAATTTCGCGACGCTGTTTTAAAACATCACGAAAATCTTCCATCACACGGACTCAATCGTGCGTTTCAGAAGCGGCGGCGATAAAACCCACGCAAAAAGAGCTTATACATGAAAATTTTACCTGTACATAAATCGGGTTGGCCCGGTTGGTGTTTTCTATCCTTCTATTTTTGGAATCCCTCCATTCTAATTGGCTGATGAGGGTGGGATCTTGGACGTTCGGTTTACATGTTAACGCCAGACTGGCTCCAATTTGTTTGGAAATGACCCCGGTGTTGGGCTGAATATCCAGTTTTGGTTGCGTTTCAGCATATACCGCTGGAATAAATACATGGAGTAATTAATAGCGAATAAACACAGCAATTGGATTCGAAAAAAGAGAACAAAAATCACTAAACCGCGATGTAGTGGAAATCAATTTATTATAGCCGACTCGCAAAATTACGTACTAATAAAATGATAAAATCTATTTTATATTGTAACGGTTCATAAACGCCCAAAGTGCACACAAGCATTAAGGGCAATTGCACATGGAACCCCGTCGAGCGACATTTACACAATCCTGTAAAATATTAGAGCGATTTCGTGGAGACATAAATCGACGTAATGTTAAACCATCGATGTATCACCTAACCAACGAAAAATTATGAACTGGCTACTAAATTATGCAGTCGCGGAAGGGCGCAAGTGATAAATGAATGACAACGGATTTGTCTTTCTGTTGAAGTAGATCTTGGTATATTTTTATGATATGTGCACGGTTTGTTTCATTATTCACAGCTCTGGAGTTTGATTATAGAAAAATATGATACCAGAAAAAGTTAATTATAGAACAAAGAAACTACAGGTTTGAAAGATTTCTACCATATTTCCAAAAGCTTGGTGTGTTAATAATGTTTGGTAAAACAAGAGAGACGGAATAAGCGAACACAAAATAGGGTTTTTAGATATTTTAGGTTAAAAAAAAATGTAGATATAGTATAATAATAATGACAGCAATTTTGTTAATGACCCTCATTTGTCTTTTATTAAATATATACATTGTGCGCTTGCTGAATTTGTTCGACTCTTTTAACTACATGATAATCCGTCACATCTGACGCCTATGCAGCTAGCGGAAAATGACCAAGCTAATCGAAAATGCGGGGACGTCAAACACACTGAAAAGAACAACATGTTTCAGCTATTCTTTAGAGCATTATATTCAGTTTACAGAAAACATGTAATTTGATTTGATTATTACGTTTAACTATGCCTAATACGCTTTTGAATGTCTTCATTAAAATCTTGTACAGATTTTTCATTTGAAAATAAAACAGTCTTCAGCACAATTTTCAGTTCAACAGTCAGAACGACGCGACGTCTCCTGAAAAAATGCAAACATCTACAGCGCGTCACCTTGTTCGCATCAAGTCAAAACTGCACTGTCCTCTGTGTCATAGAGCTCTAACCGCTATAAAATTCAATATAGATTATACAGTGTGTTAAAGAAAAGTAAGACGTAATCTTTGTGTTTATGTTCTGTTCAGACAAAATGTATGCATACTTAACACGATAGTGACTTAATTAGGATGCAGTAAAAATTTTGGTGGCGACAGCAGCCGTGGGCAGCCACCCCTACACACTTAACCATATTAAAACTCTTGCATCAATCCATCTTAATTTATCTTAATAAGAATGATGTCATTGATTAATTTACGTTGTAGAGTTTTTCTTGTACACATACACAAGACAGGTAATTTAGCAAAATCATTAATTACGGTAATAGTCGAATAATAATTTATCAACAAAACTTAACAATATTTAGCTGGGGGCCCTGCTTAATGGGGGTCGCCGTGGGGAAGCTGAAGCGGCACTAAGTAATACGTATAATGGCCCATAAACAACAATTACCTCGAGATACATGGAACCCCGTCGCAGTTTATGCAGTGCTCGCTGAAAGTTGGCTGAACGGGCTGAAACACAAGGGGAACATACGCGATGTGTGCAACAAAAATTGCGATTTCGCAAACTTTCTTTCACCCGCAATGTGTTAAATTTTTCGTCCTCGGCCGCAACTTACACAGTAAAAAACGTTTGGCTAAATCAACAAAAAAAGTAGTTCCCACGAGTCCACTGGTATTTGCCACGAAGTTTACAACGTGAAGTTACTACTTTAGCTGCGATAAAAACCCGGTATAAATATTGCGCCGGTTTTAAATGAAAAGCAAATGTTATTTTATCGAATTCACAATTTGTTGTGTATTTTGTTTACATTTTAAAATGTGAAGTTAGAAAATATCGATAGGATGCGATAAAATAAAGCCAAACTACGGTGTACTGCCCTGGGTCTACGCAGTGCAAGAAATGTCCACAAATACATCCATTGTGATTTGTTATCGTTTCTATAGTGACTTGGATTTTTATTTGTGGGGCCATTTGAAAATATTAATGTACACTACTCCAGTGAAAAATGAAGAAGAAGAAGAAATCGGATCATTGATAGTTAAATTATAATAAATATACTATATAAATAAATTATAATGCAATAAGAATCAATCCCGGTATTTTTGAAAAAGTTCAACAGTCAATGAGGAGAAGATTGGATGCTCATCCTTTGAAACAATAAAAAGTTTTTCCGAAAATTATCCAAGGGCAAAAAATTTCAAATAACCCGCTAAATTTTTGCCGCATGTTTAATAAACATTCTATATAATATTTATGTCTTCTTTGTAGATGTTTAAGACCTTCATTGTTTCATTAACAATATTATATATTGAAAATTGCTCTAGTTGATCTAATACATACACTAAGATACGCAGGATTATAATGGTGATGATTTACATCGCTCAACCGCTTTTGGGTTGCTTGTCCGAATCGGATGTCGTGGACTAACCTAAAATTTGTTCAGGCGCATTTAATTCATAGAACCTTTGTTCCTTCCAGGCAAGCAGTCGAAAAGGAAGTCAAGGCTGCAAATTATCATTAGCACGATACTATGCAGTATATTAGTGGCTTCTGTTACCGGTAAAAATTTTGATCATTGATAACCAAGTGCCGCTTTCCGTGAAACATATCACGTAGAGATATTTCTCTAATGGAAAATTTGAATAAACTCAACAAAATTAAAAGTTTAAACACACAATTGGTTAGTAATTTATTATCCTTCTTGCTCATTATTTTTACACGCTTCATCGCGTTTTGTCTCGCGGTAACAATATTCTGGAATCTTAAATTGGCAAACAACGAAGAACAAACTTCTCGTAAGTCTTGTTAATTTTTCAATAGCTAGATAAAATTGGCATATACTGTTGGAAATGCGTAACCTTAAAAAACATATATAACTATGAATCCATGTTTTGAATATGTTATTTTAATATATTTCATAGTAGATTGTCTTAAGAATGTTAGTCGAACTGGCGGAGATAGAGTAATGTATTTAATAAATATACAGTAATATAAGTTAAATGAAGTTTTTACTAATAATAAGTAAATACACTGAATCGTCTCGAATGTAGTAGGACACAAAATAATTCAGTGAATACATAAGTATGCTTTAAGCATTTTGATTTGTGACATCATAGCCTACTCCGAAAACTTATTTTTTTAATCACGGAATGAGACTCGTGAAGCAGTAGATAATTCAAATATTGTATTGTAAATATTATGAGTTTTGTTAATTTATACGCAATATTTTTTAGTGTGTAATTTAAAAATTTCTTGCGATCACTGATACAATCTCAACGGCGTACATTTTGTCTACGAAGTTTTCAGCTACCGAATTAACTAATTCAGCCGACACAAGATTAATCCACGTGCGGCAATAAAACGAACGCAGAAGACAAGTTGGTACTAACATGCTTTCACAAGTAATTCGCTCCAATTAACGATAATGTATCCAAGTGATGGGATTTGAAATCGTCAAATTTTACGAATGATGGAATTTAATGGATTACAGCGCAAAGGCAATGAACATGTTTAGCTTGAGCTTAAATAATCTCCATCTAGCGGAGTATTTAAAGAACGACTACTAATGCTCGCTCTTAATTGCCTTACACTAAATGAAATTAATTCAGGAAGAAAAAATTTCCCAACGGCGTCTTTTACATTGAAATAAACTATTTTACTGTAGATGATGGAGTCAACAACTCACTTATTGCGGTCCCAAAGACAAAGCAACAAGTTACAATTTCTTGCAAGCTTTGAGGTTTGTCACAAACCAAAGGTTTTATGTCTTTTATCTTCACAAAATAAAGATGAAACCACTTTTGTAAAACTCTTACAATGCAGCAATTTGCTTTCTGAACTGGAAGGTACGTCAGAATGAAAAGTAGTATAGTGTTTCAAATTGTACTAATAATAATAATCTAATAATTTCATAAATCGTGATTTAATTAAATAATATTTAATTCAATATTATGTCGATGAAAAATGTAACTTAGCAGTTTTAAATATGTTTATTGTTATCACATATACATATACTGATTTATTATTTCATACACTTACGTATACAGTACGAGTTATTGTATTAAATTTTTATTAGTCCGTCGACGCGTTCCTTTTCATATTGTTTTTTCAATACCGCGCAGCTGGAAAGTGAACTTTATTGAATATTCAGCACCAACTGAAGTGCGTCAATAATTTGATATAAGGAAGGTACATTTGAAAACTAAAATTTAGAGAAGAAAAATTCAAATTCTTTTGTACGAGTGTATGATTTGAACAATTATGTATTATTGCATTTAAAACGTAAAGCGATTCGTTTTTTATTTTTAACTGTTTGCCTTCTTTAATTCCTGTCTTAAACATTACGTTACAAAATAAATATACTTAGACGACAATGATTTTACAAATGATTTTCCTTGTCCTTCTTGAAATATCACGGAAGAAGTCCGCCAACCGACATCAATCAATCAAAATTGAAATGGGAGAAAAATCTATCACTACGAAGTTGACGTTTGTCGCTACAACAAACAATGGAAGTAAACAACTGTTAATAATAATAATTGTTTCGAGATTCTTTGTGTTGCGCTATTTAATTCTCTACGTTATATAATGACAATTACTATAAAGATAAAGTGTTTTTAGTGCTTTTTTTGCACTCGATCGGAAATGTCACCAGAAAAACTAAAAATAAAATATGAAAACAGTATGAGATATTGTCGAACAATGGAAAACGAAAAAGAAAACAAAAATTTTTTCAAAAAAGGTTTTTATTATTTGGTGAAGCACTTTTTTCTCAACAAATTTCGTTAAAAATTTCTTACATTATTTTAATTATTTTATGGACACTTACTTATGTACTTTCAAATTTTACATAATACTGACCACTAACCACA